TTTTTCAAACTACAATAAAATGTGCTTCATAAGTATAAATCATCTCTCCTTTCATATAATATATTAGTATATATCTATTGTTTGTCACAAGACTGTTCTATTATTGGATGAGTTCGGTGATATTTTTTTCTGCGTTAAGTGCGATTACAATCGAACAAGTATCAAAATTTATTTGTCTAGACCAAACACAAAACGACGCGGTTCCGAGGTTCGCCCTTGCACGCTCACACAACCCTGTCTGTCTATTAGCTGTAATTTAATCTACAGCTTTTGTATGATTTTCAAAATACTCAGACGCATAATTCCATTTGAAAGCACCGCACAAATGGACGACGTGACGCGACGCACCTGTTAGATATTCACACGTCCGTGCTATACATTGTAATAATATTAATATACACCGGAAAACACATTTTAGTAGGTATTCCTATATATTGTGATGCGCACATAAACTAACACGTTATGTATCTTTTTGCGCATACTGTAACCTATTCAAACTATTTCTGAGTGTATTCGCTTTTATATCATAACAGTGTACCTACCTACAGTGCCATCGACACTGAGAGAAGTTGTCGATTTACTCGTATGTGTTCCAAAGAATAATATAGTAATACGGCTGACTGGGTATGCAAATCCATTGCACAGATTTCACGAGTGGAAAGAAATATTATTGTCGTCTGTCATTTTAAGTATATATATATAGTATATCGTACACTAAATACTCAAATCTCCTTCTGTTATAAGACTTAAAATATAGCAAAATCACAAAGTAAAAATAAAATAATAATTAACATAAATAATTTTTTTTGTTATTTTTTGAGTAAAAAAAAAGATAATTTATGATTTGTAAAACATAAACATTGTACAAACACAAACATTGTACCAACACAGTGATCTCTCCTATGAAAGATATTAGCAGGGACATAACAATATAGTATACGAGTGTAAAGCAACAGCAAAGAAAAATTAAATTGGAAACTTATAAACCATTGGTTCTTAAGTACAGCAGTTGGTCGTTGAAATGATGTTATAGACAGAAAATTCCAAAGGTAAAACCAGGAGGATGGCAAACATTAGATATTATTAAAGTTAAAAGCGCAAGATTTAAAATTCAAAACGGTCCAATGGAGAGTCGTGTACGCATGACAAACAATCTGGGTTATAACACTTCTGTCTTTATAGTTTTAAGTACTCTTGACTACTTGTCGCCAGAGTTTAACCAATTAAATTTGTGCAAATTCTTAAAACGATTGTACACAGTATACACATTATACTTGTACCATAAAATGGGTGACCCGTCAATTGACCTCACGTAACTCTTCGCAAGTTCATTAGACGCTAAATATTAAACAAAACAGTTTGTCGGTTTTATGTCATACTCACGGATTTATGATTGCTAAACTATTAGATAAGTTGATGCATTACAAAAAAATGCAGACCTACATTTATATTTGATCAAAAACAGTTTATTTTATGGATTAAACTTATTTAATCCCCGAGTCTTTTTGTTTTAAATCGTTTAAAAAATCAAGCACGAGAAGTGGATAGAATAATGATAATAGAAAGAGAAGAGGAAAAAATAAGTATAAGATGTCGATTCCAGTCATGTCAATCAAGTATACATAATATATCTATAAATACTCACCAGGTATAATAAAAAGGAACCATTTAACTGCTAAACATCATACATTATAGTTATTCCCTTTCATCTTACTCAATCACACTTATTACATTTTGTTATTTTCTTGCGTATATTTTAGCAAATTAGTACTTTCTTAAAAACTCTATTTGAGCTTATTTTATATTAGCTAAACCTAATGGGATTTGTATCCTAAATAAATTTATTTTATTAACAAAATTCAACTCTAATTAATCCGTTTTGGAAAATTTATTCTTAATCAGTGTCTCCCTAATGACTCTCTTCATTGTATTATAGTTTACATAGTACTAACCCTATTAGGCATTACCCTATTGAAATTACATCATCTGTACATATTTAAACATTGTTAAACCACTCTTTGTATATTATGTCCTTTGCAAGCTCATCCATCACTACTAAACAAAAAAGTGGACTTAGACTGATCCTTGATAGTTTATGAAGTTCTACTCTCGTAGGGATTTCTTCCGTTTTACCACACACATACACACTGATACTATTTGTGCTTTTTCGTTCATAGTTTTTTTTTTTTTTTAGTCATATACATTCTTGACCTCATTTTTTATTCAAAATATCTCAACTCGCACAATATGTTTCGCTAATATAATAGCTTTGTTAACTCCAAACGCCTTAGCTAAGTTCTTTTGTTTCTTTTTTTATAACTTGCTCTCGTAAAACTTTGTAGACCTTGCATAAGCTCTTGTGTGAGGAACACTGTCGGGTTCCATTAGACAGAACAATTTACCAACGACTCCTTATAATCATTAGAACGCATCGAACCCAATTAAAGTGTACGCCAAACACATAATCAAGTGCGTGTGCGTGTGTTCGGAGACATAAGACGTTTGTGATAACACATGACGGCCAATATGAATTCGGTACTAGCAGAGCGCGGTTCGGTGCATTGTACCCGTTTTCAAAAACCATTAATTTTACAAAACTCTCGCTTCGGTTGACGTCACGTTCGCCACATTTCGAAAATCATCGTCCAACAGCCGACACGGCATCTGTAAAAATTATAAATGTGTGTGTGTGTGTGTGTGTATGTGTAGAATCGGCTACTGGGTTTTATCATCCCTCCCCCCCCCCCATTTTTGACGTCGGTTCGTTTACGGTAGGGAATTCGTCGGACAGTTGATGATGAAACGTCGCACATTTGCCGTCGCCCAGCGCTATATTTTATTCCTAACTCCGGTCTCTGAGACGCATCCATCAGCCCTCGCCTACCGAAGACGTTTTGGTTTTTAAAAATATAAAAAATCCATACGGTTTATCACTCGAATCGGCCGAGCGGGGGTGTACTTCTTCTTCTTCTTCTCCGGCCCGACATGACCAGTGTTAAATTTGAATAAGTCGACGGCCGACGATGCGTTCGTATAAATAACCTGACGATCGCCGACAACTAGCGCAAATGTAGGGTTACACCTATGTATATATATATATATTATTATTTTCAATTATGTTTTAATTGACTTACGCTATTCCTCCTTTCCCTTCGTCTAAATAATAATAGCTTGTGCTAGGGCAGAGACGGGTAACTTCAGTTTAGTAGCAGTGTGAGGGAATCGAGTTTCCTCTTTTAAGATAAAGCCTGAAGGGGTTTTTCACTAAGCCACTCAGGTAGACTAACTATATAGTCTGTTGTTATTTTTATGGTTCGGAAATCGGATAGGACAAACTTTAAAACGAGATGAAATTATGCGTGAGTTGTATTGTTACTTGTTTAAGCTGAAATCGGAAATAATATCCAAAATAATCTATGCAGTGAATATCATTTAATATATTTTTAAATATTATCTTTTAGGTACAAATAGCAATTATTGTTGCTATTCATTTCGACGTATGCGCTTATCTTATGTTTTATTCTCTGGTGTACTAATTGATTCAGCGAAAGTAAATTAACAACGAAAACCTTAGCGTGTACCACCGACACTACACACGTCACTGAGAATTAAATTAATCTTGAGTATGTAAGTGGTTTTTTGGGCTTTCTCATCGTGACAAACGATGTGCCGCCGAACGACAAACGAGCTAGGCAAGAGAAATGGTAGTGTCGCATCACGTGTATACATACATATATATGAGATTAACTCGTGTATAAAAGACAAAGGTACATTGTTTTATTACTAGGATTTGCGCAATTTATATATATATAAGTGAGCTTATACATCAGCAGCTGGTACAAAAGACGGCAAATATTGTTTGACTGGGGACTGAAAATCTTTACATCCACCCTGCCAAAATGATGTCATACTCGATAATATTATTTTGACATTAAGGCGTAAGACTGACAGTATGACAGCGCATCAAAATTGTGGACGTTTGTACCAAATATATTTCTATTGACATATTCGTAATTTATGAGGTACATTTTTTGAACTTCAGATTTTTTTTTGTACTCAAAACCGTTTAAGTTACATAATAATTATTGCATTGGTGGTATATTAAATAAACGAGCGCGTGTTACTCGGTTAAGTAGGTACCTGTGCCCTGTAAAGCATATAAATCGAAATTGATTAGTAGGCACACATTCTATAATAGACGCGTCTCAACTAAACTACCCATGCCTAAGATGATTTTAATACCTTTCAAAAAGAATAAAAATAAATATCGAGAAATTGAAAAAAAAAAATCACATGCGAACCTAATCTATTATAACAAGACGTGTACCTTGCGGCTTGCTTAACTATTAAAAATAAACAATACAACACTCTTCTATAACTTTTAAGTTAAATAATTTTAAATCATATAAATGGAATGATATTTGGTGTACGGTTTACCTAACTACAATTGTAATAATTTGTTTTATTAATATTTTCTTCATAACGCCGGAAGGGTTAAATAAAGAAATTCTATTTTTTTTTAACTATATAGATTTATTTTATAACAATAAAACCAGTAGTCAATTACAAAACAAAATGCTTAGGTGCTCAGTACTATCTGGTACTATAATTAAAATTATGTACCTATCTATTTATAATATATAATATGTAAGGTACTATGGATTTTTATTTTACAAACTAACACCTTTTTATTTTCCAATTGTTTTTGATATACCTAACGATAAAAAAATGAATAGTTGATTGTTTTATTATTTATAAAAATTGAAATACCTAATTAAAAAAAACGAAATATTGATAAATATGGCATATGCTATTGTCGAAATTTTATATAAAAGGGGTAATTTTTTTATATGGATAAAATAACTTTATCAAACGTTGGCCAATATGATAACCATGAACTGAGATCTTAACTCGCGATGAGAACGTTATCATTACCATACTTTTCTGATAACAATGCTATGAGATCGAGATAGTAAATCAGTAATAAGTGATTTTAGATTAGCTTTATTTAAATATAATTTAGTTAACTATAAAAAAAAAGATTATATATTATAGATTAATTTTGTTTAATATCTATTAGAAACGCTATTTTTATAATGATTAACAATGCTTTCACAAACCCACTTCTTAAATCAAAAAATGATTAAAATTTACCTGAATGTACAGACTACGGGTTCGTCGGGTCTTTTTCATAAATAGCACATTTAAAATAATTCCTACATTTTTGAAATTAAAATAAAACAATTTATATTTTTATTTATTTACAGATGACCATACAGGACGTATGATATTCAAGAAGATCACAATATATAAAAAATGGAAGACTGGCTGGCAGCGCTTAAAGTCACTGCCAGTAGAGATCTCTTAAATCAGGTTAATTATTTTTTCTTTTTAATACAATTTAACTAAAAAAAGAATATCGTAAAACTAAAATTTTGTAATCAGAGACTATCTAATGATTATTCGTTGGACTCATAATAGTCATTTTATCCATAATAATTGGTTATTATTTAATCCAATATAAGATAAGATAAATACACAATTTTTAATGTATTTTCTTTTTTAGCCTCTTGGTACAGACCTTAATGATCTTCTCTCGGGAAATCACTCATGGCATGCTACCTCTCATGCCCGTCCAACGTATTGTAATATTTGCAGAGAGCAGCTATCCGGTAATTATTGTTTGTATTTCATTTTTAGCATATTTACTATTGATGGTTTAATTTTTAGGGGTTACTTCTCATGGATATAGTTGTGAAATATGCAAATGTAAAGTTCATAAGAGATGCGTTGCCAAAGCAATTAATAACTGCAAGTGGACAACACTGGCTTCTATTGGAAAAGACATCATTGAAGACAAGCAAGGGGTAATCTTGATTCATCATACTTAATATTATTTCAAATATTGTTTGAAATAATACAAATTGTTTTCCTTATTAAAAAAAAAGTTTGAATACAGATTTTTTATAAAATTGTATGCTGTAGCCCCATTCTAGATCAACATTTGGTCTAATTTTCAGACCTTAATCCATAAAACTTCACTTAAACCCTGATATATAATATCTATATGTTAAAATTAATTTATTAAACAGTACTTATTACCTAACATTTAACATTTTTTTTGTAAATTAGTGTATTTTTATTGTATTTTAAGAATATTTTGATGACCCACCAATGGATGGAAGGAAATCTCCCAGTGTCTTCGAAATGTGCAGTCTGTGATAAAACCTGTGGATCAGTTCTGAGGTTTGTAATTTGGTTTAATCCAAAAATGACTAACTATTGTTATCAAAAATAATTGTTTGTTCATTAGACTTCAGGATTGGAGATGCTTGTGGTGTAGAGCAACAGTTCATACTGCATGCCGCCCGAAGCATACAGTAAAATGCCCATTAGGGCCCAGCAGACTAAGTGTCGTCCCACCTACGGCGATACATTCTGTTGGTAAGAGTAGAAAAGATTCTGTGCTAAAGGAATCCCAGAAATTCAATTGTCCTTTGGTCACAGGAAATGACGACACTTTAGAGGCGATCCAACCTCATGGGTGTTCGCCACTATTGGTGTTTGTCAACTCGAAATCTGGTGATAACCAGGGTGTAAAATTTCTCAGACGGTTTAAGCAAATACTAAATCCAGCGCAAGTGTTTGATCTCATCGGCAATGGTCCGGGTCCTGGGTAAAAAAGCATCATTTTATTATAAAAACATTATTTTCAATAAAAAAAATTTAATTTTTTTTTCAGCTTAAGATTGTTCAGACATTTCAATCCCTTTAGAGTCTTAGTTTGCAGTGGTGATGGATCAGTTGGTTGGGTGTTGTCTGAAATTGATAGGCTGAACATGCAAGTACGGCAACAAAACAGCAACAATACATTTTGTTCAAATCACTACTATATGTTTGTGTGTGTTAATTATTATTAGGTACAGTGCCATGTTGGTGTATTACCTTTAGGCACTGGTAACGACTTGGCTCGTGTGTTGGGTTGGGGTGCATCGTGCGATGATGACGCTCATTTGCCACAAATACTAGACAAATATGAACGCGCCAGCACTAAAATATTAGACAGGTATTAAAAAAACAACATAGATAATTATTAGCTTGTTTGAAATTCTTTAACTACATAATATGCACACTCGGGGTTTTAGATGGAGTATTATGGTGTACGAACGTAGCATAGATGTAGGTAGTGGCACAAAGCTCACTATGAATTCCGGGGTGCAAGAAAGTAATAATTTAGAGTCATCCATATCAACATACTACAATTGTATTATGGCCAATTTGAACAATATATTACAATCCAATCAGCATTGCATAATAATCAACACAGCTAAGTCAGTATTTTAGTTTTATCTATTAGTTAAACTCACTTTTACTAGAACATTTTGATGTAGAACCCTGTGTGATACAGTCAAGGAATTTATTATGTGTATAAGTGAGCTGAACAATGGCGCTGGTAACGATGAACTAAGCAACATGCAACAAGATATAAAATATAAACTGGACAGACTTTTACAGTTGTTACAAACGGAAGAATTTAAAATATCTTACGATTCAAATGTAAAATTGATTTGAGTGTTATTTGATGATTTTGAAATAATAAATTTCGTTTTTTTTTCTCTACAATGTTTAGGAAGTGGAAAACAACTCGCCAGTTCCAAATGTAAAAAATTTGCTACAAAGTGAGATAAAAACCAACCCCTTAAAGAATAATGAAAAATCTTCTACAAATAAAAATTCAGTAAGTTTCTTTTATACGTGTAATTTTTTTTTTCAACATGTAAAAATGGTTCATTTTTACGTTGGCAGGCATACAAGTCTAAATTATCAGTAAGAACCAATAGTCTCAAAAAATCAGTAACACGACTAATTGAACACTCCAGAAAGATTCAAAATACATTTGTTCTGACCTCTTTTCCTTCAACATTAAAGGTAAACAGTGTTTTGGTTTACAAACATAATAATCATTTCAAACAAATAATTTTTAGCTGTCCTCGAGCATAGACACCAATCTTAATTTACAACAGCTAACTCCAACGTCAGTTATAAACCCAGTATCAATATCTCCCGTACCAAGTATGAGGAGAGACTCGGATGTATGTTCAACAGACCTCAACATCGAATCATTACCTGCCCCTGTAGAATTTGCTGATTGCTATCAAGATACAGTTATTGATGACCAAAACGGAGTGTATGTATTTAATTAGCAAGCTCTCTTTTACAAAGAAACTATAATAGTTTTAAACTTAATTATGTATTTACAGGCTTTCTGAAGAAGATACTAGTACATATCAGACATCTCAGTACGACGATTTAAACAGTTACTGTCAAATGTATGAACATGATAAAACAAAAATTGAAAATAGGGACCAAAAAACCGAACCAATAAAATCATATCCGCCATTTAAAATATGTGAAGAAGAAACATTGGGAAATATCGGACATATTGACTCTTCCGAAGCTTCAGATGAATTGCCTAACAGCTACAAAATGTACGATAATAGATATTCGGGCACTGCGACGCGGTACAGCTTTCGTCAAGCATGCCGTGCCTCATTCTCACGCACTAATCTAAAAATGCATATTGGAGTTAACGAGTGTATGGAATCTGATGCAGATGCCACAAATTTGATATCCACGTCTCCAGAAGATGAGGAAAGCGAAGATTTCCGGAAAGAATTAGGAATTGAAGAAAATGTTCCTAAAAAATGTAGCATTGCTCATTTTATCGAAGGGAACGATATTGCTAGGAGGTCAATCAAATGTCGGCATATTAATAGGACATATAGCGACATGGAAGCAGACACTGAATTTGGGTTTAGGAGTATAAGAGAAGAATCAGAAAAGTCAAATAATAGTCTAGGTTTAGAGTTATCAGATGATTCAAATCTAAAAGCAGAAATTAATGTCAGAATCAAAGGTTCCGATAGCAATTTAAGTTCTAATGGTGATGGTGATAAATTCTTTCAACCACCAATCTCCAAATCGTTAGCCGACCCAGTTTCTGACAGCGAAGATACCGCAATACAGGAATTCAAACCAATGAAAAGAAGTTTAACAATGACTGGTCCAGCTGTTGTAATTAACCCGCCGTCTCCTCAACATTTCAGTTCTGATAAAAAGTGTGACATAGAAGACGCTCATTTAGATTTCAGAAGAAACAGTTTTGATAGTTGTCGTAGACGTAAGATCAATATAAATATTTACTTCTAAACAACTAACAAAATCATAAATATTAGGTTTTATATAATTGAATGCTTGGTGTTTAAAATTAATGTGCTGTATGTAAATTTTGATTTTTACATTATACAGTTTACGTTTTTAAATTTCAATGTTGAATACTAAACATTTTAAATTTTTTACTTGGACAGTTTTTCCCAAGCGCCATTGTATTATTGAAGTATTAAAAATGTTGTTATATTTTTAGTTTCTGCCGCTTCACCTGTCATGTTAAGTGCTTCACCCCTTCGATCGTCTCATCGAATTTCAAGTAGTACAGCATTGCACACTCGCAATCCATCACCTACGCCGTGTTCATCACAGAATGAAACAACACTGAAACAGGGCAAACAGTTACCAATTATTAACCCATTAGTAACTTTACCTTCATGGCCTAGTGAGTGTAATTGACATAGCTTAACATTGTACTATTTTATTAACGATCGATTATTCTGTAAAGACGTAGCAGAGTCCAGTTTAATAAGTCAAGTGTTGTTAGCAAACGCTGATGCTTTGTGCGCTCCAGCAGTTCCTTTAATGGATCCAGATGAAACATTATTGTAAATTAAATATCAATTTATTTATAAACCTATACATTTTTGTTATAGTTTAATTTATTTACAGGGAAGGATTTTTTGAAAAATGCATTATGAACAATTATTTTGGCATTGGCATAGATGCTAAAATATCACTGGACTTTCATCACAAAAGAGAAGAACATCCAGAAAAGTGTAGGTCGCGAACAAGGAATTATATGTGGTATGGAGTTTTAGGAAGCAAACAATGGTTACAGGTAGGTGTTACTATTTCGATACATTCTACCACAGGCCTAATCCATTTGTTGTTATTTATTTATTCTTTTAGAAAACGTACAAAAATTTAGATCAAAGGGTTCAATTGGAGTGTGACGGACAACGTATACCTCTTCCTTCGTTGCAAGGAATAGTCATTTTGAATATTCCTAGTTTTATGGGCGGAACTAATTTTTGGGGTGGCACCAAAGAAGATAGGGTATTCTTAGCGCCGAGTATCGATGATCGTATATTGGAAGTGGTCGCTGTCTTTGGCACCATTCAAATGGCTGCTTCAAGATTGATAAATCTCCAACACCATCGCATTGCCCAATGCACTACAGTGCAAATAAACATTTTGGGTAAACACAATAATAATTAAAATGTATACAAAGTTTAATCTTAATTTTGCAATTTAGGCGATGAAGGAGTTCCAATACAGGTTGACGGTGAAGCATGGATACAGCCTCCTGGTATGATACGCATAATTCACAAAAACCGGATGAAAATGTTGTGTCGAAACAAAGCTTTAGAGTTATCTTTGAAATCTTGGGAAGAAAAGCAAAAACAAATCAAACATCAAAATAAAAGAACACACAGCCAGTCATTATGTCGGTATACACCACTCAGTCAAGAGGAATGGAAAATTTTGCAAGACTTTATGGAAGCCGCGATGAATCTTATTGGGTAAAACTAAAGATTTCATTTTTTTTTTTATTGTAGAACTTACACAGATTAACTTATAAAACTTACATGTTTCCAATAAATTTAGACTTATCAAAGAAATTTTATTAAACCAAAGATGGCTAAAAGGAGACAATTTAAAGAAGCTGATAGATTCGACAAATGAGAATATTAAAAAAATTGGTATAGTTGAGAATGTGACTAAAGAGGTATTTATTTTTGTGTTTAACTGTCTTCCAAAAATATGTTACTACATATTGCGTTTGTTTATTTTTAGAGAGAATTACGTTCAGTAGCTACAGATGTTGTCTTGAGTACTAAACGTTTACATGAAGAGACTCTCGCTTCTATTAGAACTGCCGGAAATGTAATTAATTTTTAATATTTTTTTGTTTGAGTATTCAATTTAAATATGTTTATATTTTTTTTCAAGGTTTTCGATGGAGAATTTGTTATAAAGCTTACATTGGCGTTCAGCCGTCTGGAAATGGAACTTAAAAAGTGTCTCATATCTTCAAAAGACTCCGAGAATGATTCAACGTCATCTTACGTTTACTTTCTGAGTGACCTCTATGAATCTGTAATTTTATGATAATTTATCAACAAATTATTATTATATATACAGTTCATGAATAACAAATTCACTTGTATTATTTTGCAGGATAAATTATGCCGTAAAGGACAATTCTGGCAAAGGTTATGGGGTGCAAACGTGACAAACGCTAAAGTACTCAGTCTAGACGTAACTAATTGGAGCACGGTTGAAGTCGGTATATGGTTAGAATCGATGCAATTAGGTGAATACACTGAATTGTTTGTCAATAATGACATCAGAGGCAAAGAACTATTGAGTTTATCGCGGCGCGATCTCAAAGAAATTGGCTTGGCCAAAGTAGGACACATTAAACGCATACTTATGGCCGTGAAAGAATTGAATGTAATTAATGAGGACCACTAGAGCTTTTAAAAATAACTTGGCAATAATTTTTTTTAAAATTATTTACTTATACTGTTGATAATTTTACAAGTTTACTATTTAACAAAAAAACTCGCTAAACTCGAGTAAACATTTTCCCATGGTTTTGACCAAAGTGTGATTAACTCGAGACAACTTCAGGGTTATGAGCTGTATGGTCGGTAACTTTAAACAGTTTATGTATGTATACTGATCCAAAAAATATGCGCATAAATTACATATTTACTTATTTCTTGTATGACACAAAAGACTTTTTTATATTAAATCGCGCAACAAGGATAATCGACATCTAGGTTATTGTTGTAGTTTTTTAGTCATTTATGGTTCAAGTTCATTGTAGTGTTCTTAAAATTGTGTTAGCTTTTGTTTGATTGAAATTCCAAATAATATTCTAACTTATTGTTCCATGTTTTTAATGTTACTTTACTATTTTACGGCAACTGATAAACATTAATACAATTTTAAAAGTGCCAAAGTTTTTTCCTATCTTATTATTCTTAATTATATAGTTTTAATAATCTTCCATTAATCGTAACAAAAGTGCCAAAGAATAAACTCGCATTTGCATTTTCTTGATACTCGCCACTTGTTCTGATTATATAAATTATTTAATATCTATAATTATTTGTTTTTTTATTATGCACCTCGATTTGATATTTTGATTTTGTTATAAGTGCCCTATTCGTTTACCTTTTTTTACGCACATTGCACACGCACATAATATATTCTTATAATTATTATTATAACTTTAAATATTATGTTATACATTGGTATACTGTCATTTATAAATTACATCATGATTTTAGGCGAATGGTCAATTTTTTTTACTATCATACGTATTATTATTGTTGTAATGTATAACCACTTTTTGCGTCTCGCTGAGAACTTTTTTTAAAAAAACTCTTATAAACTAATTGAATTTATATTGATATTGATAAAAATTACTATTATTAACTTTTCGGTGAAAATGCAGGTAATTTGTATGGATAAAGTTATGGCTTTAGATAGAAGGACTTATTATTGTGTTATTAATTTGTGAATTGCTATCGAGTACTGACTATACCAATAATGTGTTTCATTGTAGTATTTTTGTAATTACTTCTCACCTTCATAATAATATTATAAGGGTAGTTGTCATCTTCTTGAATTTTTATAGGTAATTATATTTACACTGTGAAATTATTAATACTGGTGCTAACCATCTATTTATATATATTTTTTTTATTATTTATAAAGAAAACTAGTTTAATATTAGTGATTTTTATTGTACTCACAAAAGACTATTATACTGATCTGTAATTAATATTAGTGTAGTATTAGCTATGATACACAAAAAAGGTTTTGTTGACAGGGTTAATCATAATACACGACTGCCCGTGTGTCAATATAGCATATAGGTGACTAAATTAATTATATTATATATAATTGTTTGTTTAAAGACAATGACGAGCTGTTAAAATTCTAATTGTACGCTATAGGCCTATTATAATATCAAGTATTAGCAATAATTATTTGTTGAGCAATAGTTAAGTAAGTTCCTATTGAAATTTGTGTTTACTTTTTATCTAAACTGTTATTATAACTAAACAATATTATGTAGAATAGATGTACTTAATACAATTAATACATTTTTTCAAAGAGTGTACTAGTTAATGGTATATTCCATTTAATCTTTGAATTTGATGTTATAATTTTTTTTTAAATAAATGTTTGTGTGATTTTATGGCAAAAAAACATACCTATGTGGATTTTGTTTGATTAATCTATACTTCATCATTACTTAAAATTGTTATATTCCAACTATTAACAGTTTTTATTGTTGATAATCCTGAATTAGACAAAAATACTCATTATATTTTTTTTTAATCTAACCCAACACCATAGAAATTTCTTAGTATTTAGATACTATTCATTTTGATTTTGATATGTATTTGTATTTGGTATACCTATAATTAAATATTTACTAAAATTAAAAATACTTATTTAAATGTAAACTTAACTTTCCTTGCAAGTATAATTTCAAAGTAAAACTCTGGCAAACCAAATCTACTGATAACATAATAACCGAGTTTTCGGGGGAGTAATTTTGCTAATAGCTTTTATGTATTCATTCGATTTGAGATATTTCATTAATTTCATTTAAAATAACGGCATGATCTTTTTTCGGAAATTTTAAGTTAGCTTTTGCTTCTGCGAAAGATTTTGAATTGTTGTTGATATTTAATTGAGATGTTGAAGGTTGTGTTGGGGTTACTCACGGTTGATTAAATTGCCGTGGCAATTTTTTTTCGGTTAAGTTTTGCCGTAGTGTACCGATGAAAATAATCATAATGTACGAATGATTGATTATAATAATAATATTTTATCGTCGTACATGGTTAATAGTTTGCGAAGCAACGAAAATAAACAATTATCATTATTTTGACTCGAACAATTTTTCTCTCAATAAAACATACTTTTCTCATTTGTTTTGAATTATTGTTTACTGTGACTTTTTAAATATACAACAGTTATTGGAAGGATTACGTTTACTTTGACGTCAGACATTTTTAGAGAGAGTATTTGTCGACTGCATTGTAAATTTGTAAGTACGTTTAAATTATTCTTATTTGTATGGTATTCACTACAAATTTCACGAACAAAAAAATAACGATTAAAATATATATTATTTTGTATAGAAATTTAAGATGAGAAATAACGATTAGTGGAAATCTCCTCGTGATCAACCCTATAGAACACTCCCACCCATTTCCTCGCAATAAAGGCATTGATAGTATGATTTTGAATGGAATTAAAATCCAAATCAGACATAATTGTATAACGTCACTACGTTGCCGAAATAGAATACAGAAAAATATCCTATAGTCGCGTTCCTAGATTACACCATGGCACAGTAGAGGGTTTTGAGAGGTAGGACAAGATGGTATAGTTGAGAAGATTGAAGGATGAACCCAAGAACTTTCCGATTTTTTCAACTCGGTAAATTATACATTATTATTCCTTAAACTATTTTAATAGGCATTTATGTTTTCATTTTATTTCAAATATTTCTCTAAAAAAAAATTGCGTTTATGTATAAAAAAACCGTAGGTTTTTTTCAATTATCATAGCAACCATTCTATTAAAAGACGGTAATAAATAATAATCTCTGTAATTATGTGTTTAGTTGTCAAGACCAGTTTGCTCGGCCGTTGTCTAGGTACCCTCGATCAACAAGATGTTTTTCGCCTTTGCCGTTTAAAGTTGGTGCTAATCGGATATCACTGCTCAACTTTTTACGAATTTCGCCGATTAAATACGTTTAATTGCCATTTACCTGCCTCTCACAGTTTTCTATACGCGCTACAGTCATACTTTGCTAAATAAATTATTTCACTATCGTTTACTTTTTATAAAATTGTGTTTTTTTATTACCATAATAATAAGTTTAAAATGCCGCCGTCCGGGAACGAAAACCCAAATCCCATGGACATGGATTCATTTCGAACGGCGTCTCCTTCCATTCCCAGTCCGGTACATAGCGATTCGTCGGGAGACGAGAGCGACAGTACTATAGCAGAAGCCATCAATTACTGGTTCCAAAGACTCGAGTAACCCACCGACTAATATACATCAAATAAATAATTTATATATAATGTATTTATACTTGTATATGTATAATTAGTGATCCTGAAATTAATCGCATACAATTATTAGACGACAACGATAGCGAGACAGCAGACGAAGACGAAGAACGTACGCTAAAAAGGAACTCTGAAGATGATGATGATGCCGAACAACCGGCGAGGAAGATATCCAAGTAATTTTTTGCTGTACTTGTGCCGACTGGGATAATTCTGCGGTGTTTGGGTAAACAGGTATGAGTCGAGGTCGTCGTGAAGAGTTTAATTCGAGAAATATTTGTTTATTTTTAATGTGGGTAACCCAGGTTAGTCGTTTATCAACATAAGTATTTCACCGAGTAGTCTTTTGGGATAATATTATTGTTAAGCGTTTATGGAGAATTAACTTTGAGGTCTACGGTGAAGGTAATATGCGATGATTTCTTTTCGTTTTCCGCGTTGGTCGAACCAAGTTTCTAGATCAATTAACATTTTAACAAATATATTTCGACGGTCTTGCGATGCTAAATGTAAAAAATAAATAAATAAAAACACATTTTAAATACAATATCATCGGTGAAGCTAAAAAAATGAATTTTTTTTCTCATCGGCTGGGTGCGATTGTTATCATTATATTCATACGATTTAAATAATGTTTTAGGAGACACGCTTCTAGCGACACTGAAGAAAACGATGTTGACATGTTACCTGGACCTTTCTGCTCGAATACCTCACCACACCAACGGTCCAGAGATTCGAGACCGCCGGCTCCGTCTGTGGCTAGTGTTTGCCCGCAGCAGTCGGCCCAACTGCCCTGCCAACTGGATCCACTGTCTGTCGAGGAACGTCATCGTAGTTTGAGTAGTTCGACATGTACAATAATTGTGCCTCCGATCCCAGTACATGAGTAAGGCGCCGACCAAACACATCACCAGCCTGGTGTTAATAACACACAGTTTTTACGTACAATTATAGCTATTTTGAATTTACTGACTCGGACGACCATAGTCCAAATATCGACTCCGACAGTGTCCACGAACGTCCACGGACAAGAAGACCTGATCCTATGCCGGACGATTTGGACGAATATGCAGTCGACTACATGTCGGACTCGATTGACGACGACGACGACGACGATGGGTTTCGCTTGGTCATCGACGAGAGTAATGGAATGGAGATGGATGGATCAAGATAATCGATAGATCTCACAACAGAATGATTGCACTTGTGACTTTTTTGTGAACATTGGACCACAAGCCTGAAAATTAATTTCAACGTAGGAACAAGTAAGAAAGACGTTGACGCAGTGGCATCGCGACTCCAACTGTTGGTGCCGTCAAGCCCCGCCGCTGGATGGCTACTGCGTTCACCGGCCTATCTTTGCCTATCCGTCCGTGATAATATCAAGCCTACTTTTCTTATGATTTTTATCTTATTAATCATTTTCCATAGTCGGACCGTAAGCTCACGTGATATAGCTGACTTAAGCAGTCTTTTGTATTTTGCTAAATTGTTTTGTAATTATTTTTTATTTTTATTACACATTTTTCGGTATTAATGTTTTTGATATTTTTTTTGTTATTGTTACTACTTTTACTCTTTTACTGTTTATTGTTGTAATATTTTGTTTATCGAATTACCTTACTTGTATACTTATTAGTGTTAATACTAGTAAATATTTGTTTTGACCAATTTATATAATAATTTAAATATATGGTATTTATTTTTTAATTTACTCTGTTGTTTTTCCATAATTATTCGCGTTTCTTTCTGGTTATTTTTCGCGTTTATTTTCAAAAAAGAATAGTATAATATATTTAAAAACTACAATTGACATCTTAGACTAGTCATTTTTTACATAGTTAAAAAATAAATGGCGCCAGACGCCTAAACGAAGCACACTATTATTTCATGTAGTTAAATTGCCTACATTGGACGTCGTTTTTTAACCAGGCGTGTTTCTTGTCAAAATCGAATAATTTAATGATGTAATGTTCGATTTCAAGATTATAGTAAATACCATAGCTATCGCCTATACCTAGGTATAAAAAGCGTAGTTTAGCTACAGATGATACCTGGGCATTATTTGAAATATTTTTGAACCAATTTCTTCATGTAGCATGTTTACAGATCGGAAATCATACATGGAATGCAATTACTAGAGACAAATAGTCAAATTCGAGAAAAACATTGAGAACGACGACATAACGTTAAAAACGTGTTCGTCAACATTTTGAAACATTTACATTTTTTTGCTGTATAAGTGAACAAATAAAATGATGATATTTTTCTTTATTATATTAAACTTTCAAAATTGAATATAATAAAATATGAATTTTTAAACTTGTTTAGCTAAGATAATTAGTTCATAAAACAATTACTGTAAAGTAAAATTTTCTATATTTTTGATTACCTTGTTTATAATAATATATTCGCAGTAATTACTTCAAATGGAATTCACCAGTGCAAAATAAATGAGGTTGTATTGACGGTACTGCTATTTGTAGGATATTCAATGAGCAAAAAAAAATTAAATATATATTAAATTAAGTATATAATGCAATTAATTATAGTTTTTTAGGCACAAAGTAGTTATTATTGTGTTAAAATATATCGGCCAATGGCATTCCCAAGAGGGTTCGTCATCTCTCTTTATTGAGCCTATCCTGAACCAGAGTTGGACAAAATATAAATATCATATTATGACATGATCAATATCATACACGCAGGAGTAGAACTAGAAATGAAAAAAGGGAGAAAAAAATTCACTTAAAATACATACAAGGAATAGTCATAAAGTTTAAGACATATTTTACATAATAAAAAACAAATACATATTTTAATATATTATATTATAAAAAATAAATATAAAACAATTTAAGTACATAAGGGGCTGAAACCATCCGCCCCTGAATACATGGAGTTATGTTAATGAACAGTATCTTCAATCAAATCAACACAACCATTATCCAACTAATAATCATCAATTGTGCTTATTGTAGAAAGTCTAAAAATTTACAGTTTGTACATGACTAATTTTTTTTTTTTTTTAACTCAATTTGAGTGAAGATTCAACTATTTAAAGGAATAGGTACATCACGACCCCCAATAAAATAAAACCAGTACATTAGAGTTGGAGTATAGCGAGAATGGAAGAGACCATAGGTAAAAAACCAAGCAGTCTTAATAATACGTCTAGTGGCGTGAAATCCTTCATCACTCCCCCTCACATATGTGCTACTTTAATGTGTAATAGTTTGTGGTTTACATCTAATTAGTACTGAATTTAGATTTCATAAAATTAAAAAAAAAAAAGTATATTGAATCTTATTTAACTAAATATATTAAACCTAAAAGAATACTGAAATCGTTTGCAATCAGTTTTTAAAATTAGAACCATCCAGTTCAGTTTATGAAATTTCTGTTTACTAGTTTTGGTTTTCTAATGTACCAAGTTGGATTTCTTCAAACATTGGCTAAGCTGTTAATGACAAATTAGTTTTAATTTTTGATTTTAATAAAAAATTTATTTTAAACATATAATGTACATAATGTAATACATGGGATTTTTTATTTTTTTTAAAGACACATATAACAATTAAAAATATGATAACCTATTATTATAAGTATAACAGTCATTTTTTTTACAAATGTATTAAAAACTTATCAAAATATATAATATTTTGTCATTTTACACTCAGAAAATTGTGTTTTCTTTTTATTATTTTTAAACCCCCTCCAAGTAAAATTTTTTTAACATGCTAATGGTTAGAACAAAACTTTTTTTTTTAAATAACTAACAATTTATAGAATAGAATAAGAGCTATATAAAAATAACTAGTTTTATTAACAATTTAATTTTCAATAATAAGACAGAATAACAGAACAAGTTTGTTAAAAGTATAATAAACTTTAAGTTGTTGCTGGTTATGACATAATTCACCGTAACAATATTAACAAATTATTAGTGTGGCACAGTATTAAAATTTGAATTATCTTAATAAAAAAACAGTAAAATAATTAATTTTTTTTGTGTATGTGTTTGCCAGACAGATAGTATACAAATTGCATATTATAATTACAAAATATGATAGGCAAACAATTATAAATAAATAAACAAAGTTAGCCCAAAAAATGAAACGATTATCATAAACATATTTGGGAAGTACGATTACCTAGTTAGGTTTTTTTTTTAAACAGTAGAAACGGAAGATATTATACATGAAATTTGTGTCTGCCTTTGTTGGTCAAATGAAGCTTAGTTACCTTGTTACAATAATAATTAATCTAATCATATCTATGTACAATATTGATGTTTAATGTTGATTACTTTTACATTAATGTATTTACATTCTAGCACGCACAGCCTTTTTGTGACCTGGATAATAGGACGAAAACCAAATCGTTTATGGCACCATACACGAGTGCGTCATACGAATTAGTTAAAATTAAACTTAAAAGTGAATGGACTTCCGTGAAACTGGTGGAACTGTTGGAACGGATTGTGGCCTTCATGACGCCCCGACTCCGGGTCCAGAGGATCAATACCTCGATCAAACTGTTCTCGTTTTTCTGCTCATAAATATAGGTAAAGTAATAAATAATAATTCACATAAAAAAAGAAATCATTTAACTTTCATACCAGGATCCGTTAGTACTTCTTTGGCCGCAGCTATTTCAATAAATCTCTTCTCGGCATTCTTTTTTGCCTCGCCTTGGAAGTTATCCGGATGCCACTGTTGTGCAGCTTTTCTAAAATAAACAACACAATAGCAGCGCTTATTAGCATGGATTCAAAACAAATTCAAAAAAATATTATGAACCCTAAAACCTAAAAATTAAAACCTTTTCACAATCAAAACCGGAAATTTTAAAACCTGTTACGACTCTCTGATTGTTTGTAATAAATAGTAAAAAATAAAACCCCTATAAAATTAATTCAAGCACAAAATACCTGTATGCCTTAACAATTTCTTGTTTGGTTGCAGTTCTTTTCACGTTCAATATTTTATAATAATCTTTACGCTCAGCTTGTTTTTGAAGTTTCTTAGCCTTTTTTAATCCTTCGTTCGCTCGTCTGTGTTCTTGATCAATATGGAGTGCGTGCTCAAAATCTCTGATGGCTAACATAAAAATGTGCACACACACCAATTGTAGATTATTTTTTAAAATAATTAAATATATACTCTGTTATATAAAATATTTGTTCCTAAAAGATATTTCAATTAAATTACCTTCTTCGAACATTGAATTCACTATGTACGCATCGGCTCGGTCGCAATAAAGGTCTGGCGTCTGACTTATTTCTAAAGCGTCACTACAGTACTTCAATGCCTGAGAAAGTTCATCTGTTTGTTGGTAGCACTGACATAGTTTTTCATTGGCTATGTACCTTACATAGTCTTCTTGTTTCTCCAAGTCCAACACCTAAATCAATTTTATTTAGATTAGTTTTATACACATATATCAGTAATTATTATGCATAGTTATTGAAAAACATTTTAGCCTCGGTAAAAGGCCGAGATGGTAAAATAAACTTACTTTTTTGGCAAACTGAATACAACTAGAATAGTCTTTAATATTAAAAGCGGACAAACTATCTGTTAAAAATCTATCTATTTTCTTAACAATTTTATAATGAGCGTGACACGCTTTGTGATCGGGATCTAGTTTTAAACATTCTCTAATTTCTCTAAAAAAAAAAAAAAGAAAGATTAATGTTATAAGTCTAGTCTAAAACTATTTTGTGCGCTAAAAACGTATCATACTTACTTAAGTGATTCTGTTACTTGTCCTATACTGTAATGTAATTTGGATAGCTTGTAATAACCGGCAGTATCATCAGACTGAAGCTTCGTAGCAGTCCGCAGATCCATTATTGCGTGTTGAATATTACCGTTTTTCATATGCGCCTGTGAACGTCTCTCTCGCAAAAATGGCGCCCAAGGACAATGTTCTATTATACGGTCATAGATTTGTATTGCGCTCTGGTGGTCGTTTTGGTCTTGATAGTATACAGCCAAATCCACATCATACGCAAGACCATCTAATTTCGAATACAGTTCATTTGCTTCCGCGGAAAAATCGTCATTACCAATGTACTATAATATAAATTTATTTATGCATGAATTACTGTTTTAGTAAAAATTACACAACTACCTTCGGTGTATACTTACTACATGGTATAGATCTTTCTTGGCTTCTTCAAAAGATGCTTGTTTCATATACACAACTCCACGTTGAAATCGAGCCTATAATAACAATAATAGTAATTAAGAAATGTAAATTATTTATTATTAATTTAACAATAGCAACATACGGATTTGAAGTCCGGCTTCAGTTCAAGAACTTTTCCAAAATCTAGTAACGCAAATTTCGCTTTTCCCAACGCTAAATACACTGTTCCTCTTTTAAAATACGTTAAATAATTTTCAGGATCACCCTCTATAAAAAGGAAAAAAAAATATATTAGACATTTATTATATGACATAATTTTCAATGCACATTACAAAAGCAACAGGCTACCTAAATAATATTTTTATTGGTGTTCAAATTTGGATTCATTAAGATTAAATTATAGGACCAATCAATACATCAAAGTTGAAGCTTAAATAATTATTAACTGAAAAGGTTTTGTTTATTCGGTTTGGATTTTGCCAAAGTATCAACAAATAACTAAAGCAATAATTTTTCTATTCTGGCTACATAATATGGAAAATCGCTATATAAAAATAACATTTGATTTAAGATTTGCTTACCAACAGCAGCGTGGTAATGAGACAGAGCGTCTTGTAGTTGGCCTCGAGCTAGGAAATTACGTCCCATTTCCAAATGATTCTCCACTTCGGAACCTGTAAAACGAAAACGGTGATTCTACAGATCACAGAAACAGGAAGTGACAGCAACCAGATAAAAAAAAAAACTTACCCGATGTGACGGAATCTAAAGCCAAGAAAAACAAACAAGTGGAGTACAGTTTAATCTGTACCCTTTGCCAGATCTCCATGACTGGTGTGTGAACTGTGCTACTGGCTGTTGGTTCAATAAAATGTGTAGTCGGACAAACGTCGTGCCATCACATTCGGTATTTGGATTAATTTAAAAGCAATCAGTTGAACAAAATCGTCGGAAGTACAGCAGCTATGCCGTGTTGTGGACTTTTGAAATGATAACGAAATCACTGATAACCGTCATGGTCGCGTTCGGTTGTCGGCAGCGTCGAAACCGTTTTCGACTTTTGATTTTTCTCGATTTCCTAATTCCAGTTTTACCGTATTCGACGTCTTAAACGTGAAACTTTGTGTTGCAACCAAAATCAATTCTTTACCGGTAATTCCCTAAAAATCCGGTACCGTTTCCATAGCCGGTAAAATGTCCAGTAAACACTGTCTGCAAACGCGCCCATGTGTTCTTTATCGAACGCCGTGTTGGAACCTCATTGGTCGGTACATAAATTGCACTACAATGAATAATATTATTTGTGTTTAAAATAAAAAGTAAAAAATCATCTTACGATGATATTAAACGTTATCAGAAAACCTCAAGTCTCAACCCATGGGTTGCTCTAATATTTCATTTGCCGATTAAATAAACGTGTACCCTAGTCCTAAACATACTCTTAGTATTGTCATTTGTCACTTTGCAGTTATATAGTCGTGGCCGTAATTTATTGGTTCTCCCGTCCTATCGATGATTTAATCGGTAGTTTTAGTAGAAACGACTGCAGTGTGTAATACAAGAGAACAAATAATTAAATTGAGCACCAACTATGAATCCAGTACCAACAAACCATAGAGTATCTTATTATTACCCTATGCGACACATTTATAGTGTTAACACACAATAGTCTGGAAAAATATCTACAAAGCCACATCAAAATTGAATTATAAACTCTAACTAAACAATATTAATCACTTAATTACAAAGTTCTTTGTATTAACCGACTTTATGCTGCCTACAAATTTCATGACAGTCAAATTATACCAGCACGATACTGTGTACGTAATACCAGTATATACATTAGCAGTGATATACTTGTGCCAATTTAGTAATTTTCTGTGGTTATTACATATTTTATTAATATGAAATATGAAATCATATTTGAAGTTTTGAAGGTTAATTTTATCAGGAAAACACACAAATATTTTTTTTTTAAGTTCATAAAGGTCACTGGTTGTTTCACCTATAAATAAAAACAAACCGGCTAGATAATTTTTCTATAATAAATAAGCATTATAATATTAATTTAATACAAAATGTTTGCTTGATGTATTAACACAGATTATTGTAATATTTTATAAAATACAATTAAACTTTAATTTCGGGTGTATATGTTTTGTTCATAAAAATCTTTCAATATAACAAGTACCTATCCATCAGTTATACAAAATAAAAATTAACAAAAAATAGTATTTTACCACCATTGGTGTCAGTTTATATTTAAAATGGAAAATTATTTCAGGCAAAAATATTTTAAAGCTATTTATTTCTAGAGTAAATATTTTATTAATAAAAATAAACTAGAAACTATTACAATAGTTATTAAATACAAAAATATAAGCAACAAATGTATTAACTGTATTGCTGTTTAAATTAAAAAATAATTTTACATTTTCATGCTTAAATAAATAAGAGATTCCATATTTTAATATAAAAATGTTATAAAGGAATTTTGTGTATATAAATATCAGATCCAATAAGAAATATAATTTATAACAATATACATACAAAGCTAGAATAACAAAATGTAATTTAATACAACAGATACTCGATGATATTTGTATAAAAACTAAAGTTTGTTTTATTTTATCAAGAGAAGTTAACAGATAATTTTTAATTTCGTTAATGTAAATTAATTTAAAATAAAATAAATTATTTAAAAAAAATATATTGTATGAACCATACATCAATACTAGGATCAGACATGTTAAGCTATTTACTTAAATAAAATAGGCATACTTAAAAATTAACTTAACTTGTTCTCGACTAATTAATAATGATTTATTAAGAATATTTTTATAGAAATGGTTATAACTTAAAATAATTGTGTAAAAGTTTAAATCTAAAAAGGATGGACAAAATTCAAAAGAAAAATCAATTTAAGTTAAGTTCTTGAGAAAATTAGATCATTAGAGATAAAATTATAATAATGGTGTTCATCCCTTACAGTGATTTATTCTGATGTCACAAGGTTGTTTTCTTAAAACTTAATGTACAAATAGCGTAAGCTATGCACTGTGGTTGACATAAATACTTATGTATATTTTATTAAAGCTATAGTAATAATATATCGTAGCATTCACATTATATTGCTTTTTAAAACAAAACTTAAACACAAAATGGTATAAATTATTTAGAATACATGGTTACAGAAACCATTTTTGTAAGAATAACATTTGTCTTAATACTTTAGTTACATTAACAGTACTTGTTACAATGGACGGAATGAGTTCCAAAATAATAATTACAGTGGTAATAATAATAATAATAATAATAATAATGATAGTAGTTGTCTAATATTATCACAATTATAGAATATGAGATTTTAAAGTGTACAATTAAAAATCATTACGGTTTGTATTTTTTTTTTTCTACAGATTATAACAGTTGTATGCTTAGGATTGTGTTTGTACTGCGGATACCAAAAACAGTCGTATTTTGATTATTGTAATACACATCAAAATTGAATATTTGAAAATTAATATTGTACTCAAATTATGTTTTGGTTTCCATGTCAAATTTAGTTTGAGATTCTTTCAAATATTTTCTCTTTTTCACTTGAATGTTGGTTTCTACAAGATAGAAGGCTCCGGATGCGAGTAACGCAAAGAAACTGGCGATAGCTACTCCAAAAGCCCAACCAAAGAAGTTGTTGTCATGACCCGGCATCCATCCAGGACGGTTAGCGAATAAAGCAAATATTAACACTGCAAGTGCCGCACATATGCCTAAAATAAAAAAATTAAAAAGTACACAGGAATACAATTACAAATATTGTTATCATTTTTGAAAATATTGTCTTAAAAGATAAGGTGGTTGTTTATAGATTTTTTAACTCTTGTACCGTTACATTTATTCAAGGTATTATTAATGAAAATTGAATAAGTAGGTTACAAAAAAAATGTAACAGTATGTTTTGCCTCAGATGCCGTTGAAATATACGTATACATCTAACTGTTAGATCCTAATAGCTTTTATCATATAAATAATGGTGATATTTACCTGAAACAACTAATGTTACTCCTAGAGCAAAAGTTATTTTTATGAAACGTTTCTCATCAGGTGTACAACACAAGAGGAACATAAGAGAACCAACAGCCGACACTAAGGTCCCCAGGAACGCAATTGTATAAAAAAATTGACATGCCACAATGTAAACTATAAAATAATAAATGAAACATATTAAAACTGTACAAGGTAATTAGTATATAATTATTTATAATTCATACATGGCAATAAAAATCCTTTTATTTCGTCATAGCCCTTAGTAAAGGGGTCAAAAATCCAGTGACATCCAACAAAATGTCTCCGCTCTGCTGGATCATTAGGATCTGGTAGCGATCGGAAACAATGTGTCCATAATCCAAAACTATCCAATTTAGCACCTAGGTATAAACTATTATTATTAATATAATTTTTTTTTTAATAAATTTTTTTTTTTTTTTGTTAAGAACTAAATACCTGTGATTCTTGAATCGCTGACCAACCAACTAGTCGAGAAAAATGAAATGAACACAAATACTAAAGCCAACACATAACAGCCAAGAGCTACATTACCGGCCAAACTACGCTTTTTCATTCTACAAAAATTAACAATGTAATAGATTATAATATAAGTTCAGTAATATGAATAAATAAATATACATCACACATTTGACTAATTAATATGTAAAAATATGTATAAAAATGAATTTGAATTCATAAATTTCTAAATATAAAAATATAAACAATGATATACTACATTATAGTTTAGGTAGAAAAGCCAACTTCAGTAATAATAATTGTATGATAATAATCTACAATAGAAAAAAAAATAGTTTTAATTCAATTAAAAATGACTTCATAATCTAGTGTGCCAGTCTTAAATAATTATAAATAGAAGTCACTCGAAAACAAAAAAAAATTAATTTTTAATTAATTATTTATAAATAAATAATGAATAGTGAGCTAATATTTGAATATTTACTAGGTATTGCTTATTTAAAATAATAAATAATATACCGAACTTGCTTAAATAGAATTTAATATAGCAGATAAAAATTTAATTTTGAATGAGAACAATAACAACTATTTGAGCAAAGCTTAATCTCCTGTTATTATTCATATATATTATATAAACATCATCAGGATAACCTCTGCCCTCTGGTACTTTTACGAAACAAATTTGATACCTTCCTTATTGAGTGTGTTTCCAGTATGACAAATAAAATCGATAATTTACCACTACTGTTTACAAATTTAAATAATAAATATTTACAATTACACTTATAATATGAAGTTTTGGTATTAATAGCTTAAAAATTAAATACTACAGCTTTAACCAATTTGATGAATTAGTCAAACGACATGAAATAGTGACAGACAACAGTTAAAAATAAAAATCTGCGAAATATTTTAAAATCGTTTAAGGAATAAACAAGGAACTTGAAAATAGTGGGTGTATAATGCTTATAATTGATTAGTGCTCAGTAATACTAAATATGTTACGTGACAGGCATATGTACAACACTTAAATTTTAAAAACTAGCTAAGACTATTATTCTTATAGTAGTAGAATGTAGGTAATATTGTAGACGCCTACCTTAGGTCTTTAACAGAATCTGTAGACCCGGGCATCGTATATCGGCAAGCGAAACAACAACACTACTACTACGAAAAATCAGTCAATGGAACAGACAAATCGACGGTTACTACAAACTCAACACCAGTGTTGAGGAACGATTAAACAATTTTCAAACACAACACAAAATACAGTGTACATACTTGGAGTGTGATTCGAGTACAGAACGAGTAGGTCTCTTTGAAATTTTGATCGCTATCAAAGCACGTAGAACGTTACAGATCTCATCGCCTGAAACAACATTAACAAACGGTCGGTTTAGACACAGGCACAGAAAAAGATATTCAATCGACCGTGTTGAGAAAAAAATTCGTATCAAAACATTACCTAGGCGCAAGTATGATAAATAAGTACAATTTACAAACAACCGAACGATTGACAAGCCTCTTGTTGTGTTTATCGAATGCAATGATACTATTGGGTTGGGTCACGCCCTACGGTCAGCGTGTGAATGCATTTGTGGAGGAGGGGAGTAAAAATATTTCAAATAATTTCTTTAAAGCCGCATTTTCCCTCCAAAGACGACCACGACGCATAATTTTAAGATTAAGCAACACATAAGATTTTACGGTCTTTCGGAAGGAACGGTCGTTAAACATTTCCATTGGACGGACGAGCGTTTTTTATGGAAAAAAAAAACCGAGGACACATAGAAAAAAGCGTTGGATGTCGGAGAAAATTAAAAACAAGTAGCCGTTGCAATAATAATTATCGCATACTTAATTCCGAAGGTCCGATTTTCCAAAGATTTACACATGACGTGGGAACTTACCGTACACTATGTATTATATTTTTAATGTTATTAGTCGTCAACGTGAGAAATTCAAAACTACGACAAATATTGCGAAACGATCAAGGGTATAGAAAACCGACACAAGGCCTTTTCGTAAAAAGCTAACAAAAATACATTACACAGACGTCTTAACGTGCATAATGATTTTTTATCGAGACTACTGATTTAATGTACATTTATTAAGAACACGACACACCTCACAATAACTATAAAGTATTATTATGATTTATGTAATTCGGATTAGAATATTTAATACTGAATGTTCAAAATCGTATTTTTTCTCTTAGTTTAAACTGTAATTTTAAGAATACATTCTTACTGGCATGGTACAGGATTCTAGCTAATTTAAAAAAAACTATGCTAAAACTTAAGTGACCTTTATTTAGTACAGTTGTGAAAAATCTTTACTTTTAGTCCCAATTGCCAAACAATTTAAAACAATCCATGTGCCTACATTGTATAATAATTCTTTTGCCCGAGCCCAGAAATGTTATGTCAAACAAATACTGTTTACAAAATATTGTTTTAATGTAACTATTTCAACAATATTTGTAAAACATTAAATGTATAGTCAAGAATTAATTATAAAATATTTTTAAGACATTAAAAATATTAAAACATTTTTTCCGACGGTTATTATAGATTGATTTTGGCAGTATAAATCATCTTGTTTTGTACGTAGACAGTAATGGGTCTAAAATGTTGTAAGCTTCTTTTTTATAGTGCTTTAATACTTATTGAAGTAATTAGAAGATATCAATAACTTACTAAAAACGAAAGTTATGGTTTACTATTTTCAACATTTTTAAACGTATCAACTGAATAATATAAATTAAGAAGTAGCTAATAAATACACCTAAAATTATGAGCAACGAGTCACATGCTTTTAAAACTCAATCATTTCACAAAACAAATATATTCTACCACAGTGACAAATGATTATTGGAGATATAGTGATTATTTTAATTCAATGTTGTTTTTAAAAAAAAAACTCAAATAAGATGTAGGAAGATCATAAAATATGTTCCTATTGTATGAAGGTAAAATATAAAACATACCTCAATGTGAAAATAATTATGAATGAGCAAACGCGATTGAATTTAACAATAATTTAAAATCAAAATGATACATAAACATTCATAAAATTGTTTTAGTAAAATATAAAATATTTATTTTAAATACAAATAAATAATAAAAACTAATAAGCTTGTACTTCTTAAACAATGTATATAATATATGCAAAATATATACCAATTAAATAAAAATAATTAAATCATAGGATATGTATACTTGGTTTGTTAGAGTATGATGTTACTCGTTTTTTTTAAACTTAATAATAATACTTTTAATTTAGTCAAATTCTTAATTGTTATTAAATTAAATTAATAAAAAAAATTGTGAATATAAATGAATTCCCAAAATCTAAAATAAAAATATAAGAATAACAATAAAATATTGAGTTTTTGTGAATAAAGTACATAATAAAAAGTACATAGGAAATAAACACTTACTAAAGGTTGTTATTGTCTACTGCCTTACATTATCACTTAAATAAAAAAGAATGATCAAAATTTTTATACATGAAAAATTATTTTAATAAAATACCATGATTGAACAAAAAAAATAAAATATTTGATAAATATTATGTATCAGGTTTTTAAAATTAGTAATAACTTTTCAGTCTTTTAAATGCATAACTGTCTTTTTTTTTTTATTAATTCAGAAATTTTTTTTTCAACCTACTCGTTATTTATGAAGTTTTATATTTATCAGGTTATTAAAAATATTAGACATCAAGTTTGCTATTCATATTTTATAGTAATAACTAATAAATAATATTATATATGATATCTAGAATAGTTAATCAGATAACAGTTTTTTTTTAACTGATACTTAAATACAATAATAATACATGCTTAATATAATATATATAATAGTTTATATATTCTTAAAACAATTAATAATACAAATGTAACCTTATAAAAAATAAATAAATGGACGGATGATTTCCAGTTGGTCAATAATTCTTAAAAAGAGATTCATCGTATGGTGCTAAAATTATCAAAACTAGTTTAAATATATATTATTAAGTTTTCATCAAGCTTTATAAAGCAATTAATGTAAATTTATGTTTTCAACCAAAATAGTGTTATTAAAATTATTTGGATTTTCAATAATTGTTTACATACAATATTTAAGTATTCCATTAAAATAAAGCGCATAAATATGTTTTAAAATAATTAATACTTTTTAGTTGTAATACTAGAATGCCAATACTTTTTTTCGAGATGCGTACATTTTATATTTAAATAATTTAAATATCAGTATGTGACGACTGTTTATGATCCTCAATGTCATAGTCGTAATGAGCCCTTTGACTAGCCATCTTTTCACGTTTGATTTTATGAACCCGCCCTTCTATAATATACAAAATACCGCTAACATAAAGGCTGATGGTGCCAGCGACGGCAACTCCGTAACTCCAACCGACATCATTGTGTTCCCAGTTTGGCATCCATACCCTACTATCACCATTAATTCCGAACAAAATCAAAGCGATAGTGCTGGTTATGGCTAAAACACAAAATCTAACATTAAAAACGTACGAGATTACATCATATTAAAATTTATAACAGAATGATTTTACTCTACCGGCGGCTAAATAAATTCCTCCGGCTGTGAACAATATATGTACATAACGCTCTACTGATCTATTCAAGTACATGTAAAGAGTGGTGTAGAATAAACCACATATTGTTAAAAGAACGCAAACGGAGAACCAGAACTGTACAGCTATATAAAAGCCTAGATTATAAAACAAAATTGTACACTATATTATTATTTGATCGCTTTTCAAAATTATCAACAAAATATTTATTTACCTTTAAATAGTACATCGTAAATGATATAATATTCTTCTTCAAACACCCACCAGCAGTTGCCAAATTTAGTGTCATACCAATGATGACTGTCTTCAAAGTCTTTAAAACAAACCACCCATAGACCTAAAAAATAACAAAACAATAAAAACTTCATATTATTATTTGACTTAAATATTTTTCACCATGCCCGTTAAGAAAATTAAGATTTTTCATTTGCCACACGAAAAGTAGGATGTTTTCGTCATGAGCACCAATACAATAAAAAGATAGACATAATTCAATATACACTAAACCAATTAAAAATATTTTATGGATATGTTTTAGAGAACATTTTTTTTTTTTAATTTTACACTGATCCGTAAACTTACTGTCCCGTCACGCTAACACCGTATACTTGATAAGTGAATATATTGTTTAAATAAAACTACATATTCAATTATGTGTCCGTTTTAACATTAATATAAAAAATAATTTAATTTGTTAGTATAATAAAAAATACAAATAATTACAAAGAGCTTAATAATGTGTCGATCACTTAGGGCGTGACCGCATACTAACCGATCCTTTCGAATTTTGGATGTTCCAACTTGCCGTCCGTGACCAACCAATTTTTAGTGCAAAACGCTAGCAGAACAAAAAAAGTGCCTAACACTGAAAGACCTACGGCCGTTAGACCGTTTCTAGATTTCGCCATCGATCACTCGAAGCCTTCTTTTACATTTATATAAACTGTTTTTAAACGACCAATGTATTTTTTATCTATAACAACAGTACAACACAAACAAATACAATACGGCTGTTATCAATATTATAGCGAACACAAGCAACATGTGTTTCAGGGTAGCCACTACAAGAGATAATTTTTCGATATGGGGCAAGCACGTGATTTTTGTGTTTGAATTTGAAAATTTTGAAACGTAAAATTCAAATAGTAGAGCACAGGTTCAATAACACGTTCATCTTTACTTACAAATTAAAAGTCATTAGACATTAAAAAAGCGGAGATCCTTGAGCGTTCTTATTTACATAATACATATATCTAGTAAACCGAGTTTGCTATTTTACTGAATACTGACCTTGTACATTGTAATTATAGCCTAAAGGTTATATAACATATTTTTGACTACACGAGAAACTGTGGAGATTAAAACATCACAGTTTCATTATGTGTGTAATAGCTTTAATGACGGCAACACCGGTACACGAATTGTTGATAATATCTGAAAATGACCAATTACTCACCTGTGACACATGTAATTTTTGATATGGACGGTCTACTTTTAGGCGAGTTGAATAATATTTTTATTTTTAATTTAAAATTTATGATTTTTAATGTTTTTTTAAATTTTTTTAACGTGTTTAGATTCAGAAAGCATTTACTTTACTTCAGTAACAGAAGTACTGAACAATTATGGGAAAATTTATACAGACGAATTACATTTAAAAGTAATGGGAACAATACCTCTAAAAACTGCTTCGATTATTACAAAAGAACTCAAAATGGATATTACACCCGCACACTTGATGGCAGAGTTAAATAGGAAAAAGCTTATCAATTTAGATAACTTACCTTTAATGCCTGGTTTGAAGTTATATTTTATTTGTTTGCGATATGATCATAATATAATATTAATTGATCTTAGGAGCTGTGAGATTAGTTAATCACTTGTATGAAAATAACATACCAATCGCTGTAGCTACCAGCAGTGGAAAAGAAACGTTCAAAGTGAAAATAGCCAACTATCAAGAATTTTTTTCAAAGTTTCACCACATTGTTCTAGGTAGTGTTGATCCAGAAGTCAAAGAAGGTAAACCTGCCCCAGATATATTTTTGGTGTGCGCATCGCGTTTTGACGACAACCCTAAACCAGAGAAGGTATGTTATTTCAACATTTGTTTTTTTTATTAGATCAAGTATTATTAATCATTTTTTTTTAGTGTTTGGTATTTGAAGATGCTCCAAATGGAGTTACGGCTGCTAGGGCCGCAGGTATGCAAACCGTAATGGTGCCGGACAAAGTAATTCCTATTGAGAAAACTAGTCATGCTACACAAGTTATTACATCTCTGGAACAATTTAAACCAGAAGAATTTGGCCTACCACCTTTTAAATAGTGAGTTATTACTCAAAATTATTTATTGGTAATTATTACAGCAAAAAAAAAAATTATAAGTATTAGGACCACATACCTATTACAATTTTAGTTGTTTTAACGTTATTTATTTGTACTATTATTATATTAAATACTATATTTTTTAATATGTAAGCAGTTTTTATAACAATCTATATTATAATCTCTTTTCGAATTATTGAGTTGACAAATAAAGTGAGTTTTACATTTTTGGATTTGCAAGTTGTTTTTTTTATTAAAATTCCTTATTATGTATTATAATTTATAGCATAGTAAAAGCGTTTATCGAATAAGTATTAAGTAATAACTCACATAAATTAATGAGAAATAAATCGACTTCACTAGGGTTAACTCAAGGTTAACACAATGGTCAATGAACAATGATCTGCATAGCGAGAACAATAACTGTTAAATGTTAATAATTAATATTAACGCAGTCAATATCACAGCTTATCGTCTTTATCTAATAACAAAATATTATTTAGTATTTACCTATTATTATTTTCAATTTTGGAACTTGTATTTTGTATCAAACACGTGCAACACGCATTGAAATTATAATCATTTATCATTATTTGTATTATCCACATGCTTCATGTGTTTGGATGTTTAATGTTTATCTATTTAGTATTTAGTATTTACACAGTGCCATCTGTTAAGCAAATTGAGAAATGTGCTAAAGGTCACAGCAAGGCTGACGCCTGGCAATACAGCTGCTCAGGATAAGGGCTGATGATAGCTGCTGTGGTCCCAGATTATATCACGACTCACGAGGTGGACGGCGGTGCCGGAGGCACGATGGAAGTCGAGCTTTCCGTTTCTCTGACCTTGAACTATGTGTTTTATAGCATAAATAATAATAATCGTTAATTAAAAAAAATACTCCCAATATATGTAAAACGTTGCTCAATTTCTCCAATATTGAAACGGCTCACGAAAAAAAGGCGGCGATACCTATTATTATAATATACGTTCACTTTTCCTTTCTAAAATTGTAAAACTTATATATAAGCAGATAAAATTCCTTTATAGCTCAACGTAATCTATGTTCGTCCAAATTGATAATACTCAAGTACTTGCCTCATGTTTTAACCAGGACCGCTGATAAGAGTATTTTAGAAGAAAAAAATAAGAACGCAAAATTTTCACATCTTCTTAAAACAATTCTTGACAATATACCTACAATTTAAACGGTTATTTTCAAAAAAATGTCCAACTATTTACCTGTGACTCATGTCATTTTTGACATGGACGGTCTACTTTTAGGCGAGTATTGGTTTTTTTTTTTTAAATTTTAATCTAGTAAATTCTATTATTTCTACATTGGCTTTTGGTTGGGTGTTTTAGACTCGGAAAAAGTTTACTTGTCTTCCATGACCGACGTACTACTGAATAAATATGGGAAAATTTATACAGATGAATTACGTGTAAAAGTAATGGGAACCGTACCGCTCAACACTGCAACGATTCTTGTAAATGAACTCGGATTGGACATTGCGCCTACAGATTTAATGGAAGAGTTCTACGAAGTTCAATTGCAAAGAATGGTTAACGTACCTTTAATGCCTGGTTAGTACTGATTTTTCAACAGTCTGCCGTATGTTAGGGATGTTAAATTACTGGTAATTTGTTTTTGGAAAACTTCAGTAAATTATTGGTAATTTTACTAAATTTGAGTAGTAAAAATTGTATAAATCATAATTTTGTTTTTTCTGTAATTATTATTTAGACAATTTCATAAATCCCAAGTGGTCATGCTCACACTATATATTATATAAATAGTATAATATTATTATAATTGGAGGTTATTTCATAAATTTTGCCATTTATTAGTTTTTGTTTTGTACCACATTTATAAAAATATACTGCTGTACTATTTTTCAGTGCTATCAATCATGTATGGTTCTAAATTATAAGATAGATAGTTATTACTTATTGTATATACAGTAGGCGGGTATCTTGAAAATGGAATACCTATCAAGTTGATATTTAATGTAAATATTTGCTACTGTAAATACCTTCAACAATTCACTCTATTTTTGTAATGGTTATAATTATATTTTAGCAATTGCTGTGCTTAAGATTTATGATGATGCCTTTGATTATATTAGCCATGGAGTCTTATAACAGTTTTAAAATCACCATTTTTTATTTATCTTGAATTACTTCTCCATTTAAAAATATTTATAATATAGTGTATTGTAAATTAAAAATGTATACAAAATACTAATTTTTAGTAAAAAACAAATTATTTTTTTATTTTACTAAACAGTCAAAAGTATAGCTCAAAATGTTAATTCTGTCGAAGTATCTTTTTTTTTCAATTATATAAAATATAATAAATATTAATAATAGTTAGATTGCAAAAGTAAAAAAAAAAAAACTTTTTTAATATAAATTAACAAATTAATTATGTATAACTTTTAGTCTACACTAAAAAAAAAAGTACTGATAAAATAGGAAAGTATTTTATTTAAATTACTTTAACTTATTTCCCTAAGTGATATTAACAAGCAACATCCCTTTAGAAATCCGATCAACCGCATTTAAATTTAATCGTTTCAGGTGCCACAAGATTAATCAACCACCTGAGTGAAAATAACGTGCCCATTGCTGTAGCTACTAGTAGTGGTAAAGAGACCTTTAAGGTTAAATCAGCTGACCATCAAGAATTTTTTTCAAAATTTCACCATATTGTGTTGGGAAGTGCCGATCCAGAAGTCAAAGACGGTAAACCCGCCCCAGATATATTTTTGGTGTGTGCATCGCGCTTTGATGACAAACCTAAACCTGGAAAAGTATGTTTAGAAATGTTTGTTTCTATTTTCTGTGTTAAATACTAGAATAACCATTCTTTTTTAGTGTTTGGTGTTTGAGGATGCTCCAAATGGAGTAACAGCTGCTAGGGCCGCTGGTATGCAAGCTGTAATGGTGCCGGACAAAGTAATTCCTATTGAAAAAACTAGTCATGCTACGCAAGTGATAACATCGTTGGAACAATTTAAACCAGAAGATTTTGGATTACCGCCATTTAAATAAATAAGAAATTATTATATTTTTGTTTTATGACTTATTAAAATGTTTTTATATTCAGTTAAATTCTGAAAGAGATATGGTTGTATATCTACTTGATAATCTTAGTTTATCATGATTCATATGCCTCGCCCTACCTATATTAATGTTTTGCTTTGTAGTATTTTTTTTTTTTTTATTCGTGTTAATTTATTTTAAATATCATCATACTTTTATATTAGGCACTATTCTTGTTGACCTACTCTTCAAGTCAGCTGTTTTGTTATCATTAATCAATCCAAATCTAGTCTATCATATTATTGAAAAATTAAAAATCAAAACATTATTTAAATTAATAAAGTTTATTTTAAATATTGTTTTTGCAAAATAGTTTTAAATTTTTTATAATATTATATTTATACAAAATGAGTAAGTTGTATAAACTACAAATACGACACGTATGATAAATATCAATTATATTTTTTTAGGATTTTTAGCCATTAGAAATGCCAGCACCGTGTTCAATAATATATTTTATCGTTCAAATTTCACAAGCGCCAAATCAAAATTTCTCCCAGTGACACACGTAATTTTTGATATGGACGGCGTACTTCTTGGTATTTGAATTGAATGTTTTGAGTCGTTGTTTGTTTTTTATTTCTTAAGTTTTATATAGAACAGACACTGAAAATATTCACAAAAAAGCTGTGTCGGAAGTAGTAGCAAGTTTTGGAAAAGATTATAGCCAAGACCTACGTTATAGGGTCTTGGGCGCTCCACAACTCGACGGTGCTAAACTTGTTGTTGATGAACTGAAATTGCCGACGTCAGTCAGCGATTTTATCCAAATGATTAACAAAATTGAAAAAAAATTACTACCCAATGTAGATGTTTTACCAGGTAATAATTTCACAGTATTTAAGATATACTGTTTGAACCAATATCATGACAATTTTCTAATAAAATGTGTATAGTTGAAAACCAACCAAATAGTATTTGAATTTATTACCGGTACTATTATTATTTACTAAAGGTATATTTTTAAAAATTTATTTAAATCAATAAAGAAACTTCAGAATTTATATACAATACTGACATAACTAGTTATTTTAAGTTCTGTTGATACCTGAACAACATTTCCTAAAAATTATAGCTATATTCTCGCTTGATGGTGGTAAGACTCAAAGTACAACCCATAACTATATTGCTTAAGTGGACATGGATATATAAGTATAATATTTTCTAATTTTGATGCACTAACTCGTTAAATAAAATACTTTAGGTGTTGAACGATTATTACGGCATCTTCACAGTCATAACGTACCATTTGCAATAGCAACTAGTAGCAGTAAAGAAAGTTTTGAAATAAAAACCAGAAAGCATAAAGATTTATTTTCACTTTTTCACCATGTTGTAACAGGAGCATCTGATCTAGAGGTGAAACAAGGAAAACCTGCTCCCGATATATTTCTTATTTGCGCTTCTAGGTTTTCTGATCAGCCTCACCCAAACAAGGTAATTGTTGTTCTATTAAAGACAGGTGACAATTTCCAAGCATGTATGTAATCGGTAATTGTTTTCAGTGTTTAGTTTTTGAAGACTCGCCAAACGGAGTCAGAGGTGCGGTCACAGCGGGTATGCAAGTAGTTATGTTACCTGATCCAGTGATACCAAAGAATTTATGTACTGAAGCGACTGTTGTAGTCGACAGCATGAACGATTTTCTTCCTGAACCATTTGGTATACCAGCATTTAAAACTTAATTTTTAAATTACCCACCTACATTTTTTACTTAATATAATAATTATTGATGGAAAACATTAATGTTGTATTCTACACTTTTACCTTATATCTTATTTAAAGGGATATTATTTCTTATTGAATATTTTTACCGCTTTAGGTAAACGCAATCGGTAGCGCTACAAATTTCAAATATGTTGAATAACTTATAAAATAACAATTAATTGTTTTGTTAAAATATTATTTTTACTTTCGCTTAAGAATATGATTATTATTGATGTTTTATTAATTATGATTTATGAAGTTAAAAATGTTATCGAACAATACAAATTTTGGTTAATTTACCTACTGGCAATAGACTTTTTTATCAACAGCAATGACTTCCAAAGTTTTTTATCTTTACCGTGTGTTGTGCTCTTGAATAATACAACAATAATGTTGACACCAAAAAAGTAAAATTAAGTATTCCACTCAAGCCTCTTGGCATTATATTGATGTTATATTGAGATTTGAGTGTTTGAAGTAGAACGTGATTGGACAACAAAATTCCAATGTCGTACCAGCGAATAGTTAAACGATTGACCAACTTGGCAACGTACCAGCTTTAAGTAGGTAACCAAAAATGTATTTTTTAAACTAACAAATATTACTATTACTTTTTACTTTTCAAAACAAACATTTACTTAGCCCAATATAGATGCCTATAGGCTACAGGTAATTGATTTGTTTGAAATTCCGATGCTCAAAAGCTCAAGTGTACCTACCGTTATGTTTGGTTTAATGATAAGTTTTATGGATAAACAACGTTAAAATTAATTTTAATAAAATAAAAATTATAAATAACATTTTTGTCGGATCTAAACACGTTAGTCCCAATTTACATAGTTAGTTTAATATTATAACATACCTAGTGGGAATGTGTTAAAACAGATATCGCTCCAAAATACATATAGTTATACTTAAACGAAATAAAAATTTAAAAAAAAATCTAAGGCTACGAGATTGAGGTTTTAGGGAGAGATGGGAGGGTTAGATCATTTACGACTGGGTGGGAACAGTTGATCGTATGGGACCTCCAGGAACACTTGATTGATGACGGGCCTACTGATTTTCTCAAAAGCCTCTTCGGCGTATGGCAACATCACTTGGAATATGACTCGCCAGAACTGGTTGACAAACGTCAAAGCCATTTGACCTGAAACAATTTAGGTCATCGTTAGTTCTATAGCTCTTTGCCGGAACGGCTTTTGTCGGCCAACGTACGGTTTATGATGATGTATCTCATACCCGTAACCGATTAATTTAATGTAAGACACAAATGCAAGTATTTTAATAACAATATGTTCTTACTCAATTCTGGGCTTCCGTTGATCAAATTGGTGGCGTAGATCTTCATGTCACCAATGGATAATTTCATACCTACGTCCTTGATGCGCATGTGACGTTGGCCGTTCAATTCCACCGTGTCGCCTTTAAGTATCCACGATCCTGCGACGTCGTCTACGGTGTATACAAAAAGGTGACGGGTAAGTGTAATATGCAAATTATTAGTTGTACACAAAAATGCATTGTACTTACAAGAAGACACGTTAAAAACGCCTTTGCCCATGATTGGGATCTGGCCGATTTTGCCTTCGCCCTTGAATTTTCCTGTGGAAATCACTCTGGGAAGTTCGAAGTCGATTTCCAGTTCCAATCGCCGCGGGTCTTCCACCAGAGCCCTAAAAAACAAAACAAGTTTTTTATTATAAACGTCTCAATACGTTTACATACGGCAATCAATCCAAACACACTACAGACTATATTTATTAAATAAAAATTACATTTCTTCCCTATTGAATCCGATTTTGAACTTAAAAAACAGAATTTTATCACTTTCTTTGTGTATAAAACAAAAAATTAAGATGCTCCATGAATAATAATTCTGAGAAAAGTTTTGAATTCGGTAAAGAAAATGAAAAAACAAAACACTCTACTTGGAATACATTTATACGTACCTACAAAACACGCAAAAATAAAAAAATAACTGTGTTTTTATAAGATAAAAGTTAAAAGTTAAAAGTTCATATCTGTCAAAATTATTGCCAGAAAATGAAGATTTAACAAAATATAAGCGTTTTTGTCATTTATCCCATTTAAACTTCAACCCTTGTAGGGCACGGGTTAAAATTAATAATTTTCTAATTTTTTTTGAACTTATTTTTATTGTATTTAGAAACTTTTTAGGGGGCGTTGAGGTTAAAATTCGAAAATCTCATTTTTAAGGACCACCCTAATATTAAATATATTATGTAATAATTTATGATTGACATTTGGTTTTTTTTTAATGTGCACCTATTTATTAATGTTACTGAATACTAATCGTATTTTAATGGCGACACAAAATCCAGTAAAATAGACGTGCTCTAACATTTTTATAAACGTAGTTCACACGGGTATAGTGTCTCGAAATTAAACTCTATTCGTTCGAACCGGGCATTAATGCTATATAAATCTAAGCTAATTTAATAAAACAGGTAATTTAAACGGATATTATTGGGGGGGGGGGGGGGGTTGGCAGTCCTTGCCGGTTTTGTGATTCATATATAGACCAATACGCTTGCTTTTATAGTTCTGGTCGTGCTTAGGTACTTAAATTTATTGGAGTTGGGATATGATGGCAATTATTTCTAATACCAAATAATTTATACTGTGTTATCAAAGCGACGAACCTGACGTCGACGATTTTGATTGAACCCAAACCGTGATTGTAAACGTTCTTGAACAGACATTTTCCTTCGAGCTGTTCGGAATCAAAATGCATCAGGTACTCATCCATGTAATACGGGTCCAACGAAGAGATGTTCAATTGCGGTATTCCCTCTGCAAGTATATACATAATTAAATCGTGTTTCCCCCAAAAAATGATCAAGCGGTAATCGTTTTGGTGGTACCTTTGCTGAACTTTGGGATCAAATATTGCAGTGTGTTCTTTAGACAGCCACTGAAGTTTTTGTCGTTTCTTTTGCACGGATCAGTGTAAGTCGCTGAAATATAATTTAAAAAAACATTGTAATCAAAGTAAAAACAAAAGAAATCGGACTTAAGACCTTAACAACGGTATCCGTTTTAAAAACTGAAAAATTCTATAAGAAAAGGACCTTGGCTATTTAAAACACACAAAGAGTTATTTAAGTAATAGCGCATTCGAGACGTATCCAGGAAGACTCAAATTAACATAAAATAACTGTGTTTATTATATTAAATTGTTCGGTTAAAAAAAAAAATGAATTTCAGTATTTTGACGTTCATGTTTTTTTTAAATGTAAAATTACCATTAATTAATGAACTATATTATAATATTTTTATTGTAAGCAATGTCAAATGAAAATTTGTATACACATGGCTTAGTAGTTGACGTCCTTCGATCACATCATAAATAATATATCCTTACTAATAATAATAAAACCATTATATTACACATATATACAGTGTATCAACTCGTAATGAATAAACAAACTTCAGGGTCGTTATTTGTCTATGATTATATGCAATTTTTCAAATTTAAGAATACAAGAGCTGACAAAGAGCACAACACGTTTATATTCTACACTCGACTAGAAAAAAAAACTGTTTTCCGTCATTCTGCTCAATTAGTTACTTAATATAAACGGCAAGTTCATTAGTGTTACGAAACAGGTTCATTTTAATATTGCAATAATTATTCGTGGTTGGCGCGATATTAATTTTCCTTTCTATGATCTGAGACAATTGTGTAAAGTCGTCTTTAGGTCTTTAATTGTTATAACTTTGTTTACCGACTTCTAATTATCTCCATAAATAAAGGCTCGATCTTAGATTTTGTCATACATGCTAGTTTCCCTAAAACTACTCGCGATTCCTTAAGAAAACGTATCTCAGACATGTTTCTGTATACAATAATGATAGCTGAACAACTGCGTTGTAATTTGTAAGATTTGGAAACAAAATCTATTGGATATGTACACGGACTCCATTATAACCGGTTTGAAAGCTCTTTGTATTTCCTATGTTACTACATTATGATTATAAAGCTGTAAAACCGTTGACTTATATCGAAAGTATTGAAAAATTGCCTACTCTTTAGTCCTTAATGAACATGTTATGGTGTTAGCAGCGTTCTTTTATAATAATTGTATTATTATGCGCGAGCCGTTTTAGCGCGTGCTTGCGTACAATGGACGCATACAACAGCTATTATCATTATTTATCCATAGAAAGGCACAAAACGAAAACTATAACTCTTACCCAAATAACATACCTAACCTACTCACTTTCGAATTTTACGCACTTCATTATAATATTATGTTATACCTACATGTATATGTATTTATTATTATTAGTGTTGTTGACAAACGGGTACGGCGGCGGCGGTTTTGTTTTAATTAAACATTTTTTTTTTTCATTATTTTTTTACCTTCTATTCTCTCTCTTTCCTTTGCGCCATCTCGGCCAGACCTTGCGGTCGTTGATCCGATCCCAGATGAAAGTGTAACAACGACGGTGAAACCATTTCATTTAATTTATTATTTTTCTTTTTTTACCATAGACGTGCGGTCGGTTTTACACACACATATATATATATATATAATAATCATGTAATCGAAAAAAAATCGAAACGGAAATTGTCATCTATCATTATACCCTTTAATCGCCCAATTTCAGTACAGTTTTTTTGTTATGTCTAAATCCCCTAGTCTTTTGTAAGAGAAACCCTCGTTGAACTTTCTCTTGTGGTAATTTGCACGTAAACCTAAAATAAATGTATATATATTAACATGTGCGTGTGTGTGCGAACACGGTATTATATTATATTTCAAAAACAAAGGAAAATGAGGGGAAAACAATCGTTCGCTGAAGGCAGTTGCACTATCTCTGCTGCGATTTTATTCATTATTGCTGCTCGACGGGCGGCGATTATCAGCTATTAAATTCATCAACTGTATTTTGAAAATTATAATCGTTTTTATTTTTATTATTCTTTTTACATAATCACCAAATATACCGGTGAATTGCAGTACACTCCTATAATCTTTTATTACCGCATAAAGGTATTCCGTTAGGTAGATGCCTATAATGATATGTGCCTATACAATATGGCTATGAATATTTTATTATTATTATTATTATTATTATTATTATTATTATACTAATAATATAATTGAGAGGTCAAAGGAAAAAAAACCAATCAGTTTCAATTAATGTTTCTTATAATTACTAAAATTAGGATTATTAAAAGATCCGAGGAAGTGATTCATGCAATAAATATCAAACATTCATTTCGACTTAAAATTGAGGGTAAATAAATTAATAAAAATAATAAAGTTGAAATTTTACTAATAATATAGACAATAGAACTTTTTAAAATCTATGACCCGGGTCAAATAGTAATGACTCTATAATTAGGTAAGTTTTTGAAAATACACCCAACTTTAGACTTTGGAGTTATCTATCACTGTTTAACCTGTTGCCGCCAAAATGTTAATCAGAAATATATAAATGGTTTACCGTTACACCTATATTTACAAATTGGTTTTGCCAATGTAATTATTTCTAACAACTTACCGTACAGTAACTTCAGCCAATTTATAAACGTAAGTAGTTTATATATTCAATTTATATGTCCAGTGTCTACACACTTTTGAAAAAAATGAAATTCTTAAAAGCGTAACGAGCATCGATTTCGAAACTTCATTAGTAATAACAAAACATAATTAAAAAATATTTGCATTTACATTTACCGCATTCGTTTACAATATTATCTCACTTAGATTTTAAGCAATTAATAATTAATTCTTAAACGATTAATATGCAATTACCAATTCGTATTTAATTTGTGTTGTTATGGATGACAATTGCAATTAAAAACGTCGTAGTATTATCTGAAAATACTCTTTCTCTTTTTTTATTTACTAGTACAATGTACTAAAGAATGAACTGCTATTTATTGAGAATTTATGAAGAAATAATATTACAGTTATGGTATCAGGTTACAGGTATTCCATTAGTTAACAAACGCTTGCTGGTAATTAACTAAAAATTAATCGCGATAAAATCCATTATGTAACTTAGCTAGAATAGCTTCCCCTACATTACACACGTACATATACTTAACTTTTTTAGAATACTTATTTTTGGTTTATGCACTTCTAATGTAGGTAACTTTTACATTTTACGTTATACCTGATTTTTAGGAAAAAGTCATAAATATAATATTTGCTAGTCAAAACGTCCCAAACCGTACAACTGCGTTGTACGGTTTACGGTTTTTACGGTAATGGTTAAGACAAAATTATGGATGGCGGTTTGATTACAATTTATAAAGTTACATATTGATTGACTTTCTAATATAAACGAAAGAAATTAGTGCAATATTCGTTAGAACGGTGTTTTTTTTTTATTGTATTCATTGGATTTAGGTAGTTTATTAGACGAATCAACTCGATTTTGGGATGTGTCTCGGTAAGATCATTTGCACGGATGAGTTCGCTATTAGTATTTTTTTAAAAATTAATTAAACGGTGGTGTGGATCATTTTCACCTGTTGCTCAAGCCACGCCGTTCATAAGCCGGACACCTATTTGTGTAAATTGCGTCGTCGAGTTAATTCGTGTTGTTGTTGTTAAAGACACTTACGCAATTCTATTCCGCCGGTTCTGATGAAAGCCGCCCTGGATGGAACCGCGAACGCAGCGGCCAGTAAGAGCACCACGGAGGTCGTACGGCGCATCTTGTTGCGAGTGTATCTGCTGTGTTGTAACTTATAAGTATACACTTGAAGACGAAAACTTCAATAATTGCGCGTTGTCCGGATGGCGAACTGTAGGCCAAGTAATACGCGGGCCCAGCGAGTGGGTCTTATTTATAGATTCGGCCAGAGGAGGGATTGCGGCTTTGAGCAGAGGTAGGTATCACAAAGCGACCGACTGCAGAAAGCGGTCTTAACCTCACCGCCGCCGCCGCCGCCGCCGACGGAAGTGGGGAACGCGACGACGATTCCACCGCACCGCACACTTGGATTTACCTTTCAAAATATATCAATGTATAAATATTGTACACCGTGTATTATATTATATTATATTATTATTATTATTATGTAAACGACACGGGGGGGTCTACTGTACAGTACAACAGGTTCCTGTGCGTCTGCCCGCGAGTCTAGATATTATTCCATAAAAAAATGTATACATTACCTACGTATATAAAGACTTTCGGACGAACCGGAGGCCACGGGAGACTTTGTCAGGAAGTATAGGTGTTACAAAATAAAGTCTTTTACATAACCAACGTTGCCGGAAGATGTTTTGGTGTTTCAATTTGCAACCCAATGCCCATCGAATCCGCACCTTCAACTTGTTTAATACACTCCTGGATGACACTCTTGGATATTTACTAAAGGATGAATACATAGCCTCTACGCTTGGCACGCGCAATATTTGAATCGTGTAAACTCGACGGGTATGTTAGTGTTAGCTTTAAACACAATTTGTTTTATTCGAGGCTCGAGCTACAGGCTATAACTATTTTGGTGGTAAAAAAAGGGCTTAACGAAGGGCAATTTTCACGTTTTGTAGTTGTCCGAATTGGATACCTTTACTGGACTTAATCCTTATTAAAGCACAGACAAAAAAGTAAAATGATCATTTCATTTCATTTTTTTTTTTATATTATACTTAAAAATTCTTTATAATTGATTGGCGAAAATTATTACCACAAATAAACCTTTTCAATATAATTTATAACATTATATAGTATACCGGTACAATACTACAATCAACAGATTGATAGGAAAAAATTGGGTTTAAATGTTAATGTCGAGGACTTTCGAGAACCTACCTGAGCTTACTTGATACAGACCCGTAAAAAGGTAAAAACTAACAACAACATTATTCAATTATAACCAATGATACAAATAATAATAATAAATGCGTGTTAAAAACGATGTACAAGGAAGTTTATACCTAATTGAATCTATGAAAACTCTATTAAGTTGTATTATAGGCAAGGTCACAAAGTGAACTGGTTAATCACTCAAATTTTAATTTGACAGCGTACATAACTGACAACTGCGTAGATAATATCAACCAAAATATATCTACTAGATTTATTGTATAGATATTATGGTGGTCATTCAGTTTTTATTACAAACGTTGTAGAATTATTTAAGTTTTTAAGAAATAACTCCTAAGTAGATACCTAATTATTCAGTTTTTTTATTCATTGCAATTTGTGATGAAAGTAAACATAGAATAATAATATTATCTTCCGAGTTCCGTAAACCGATTCCAACTTATAACTTCAGGAATTAAAACTGTTTTCGAGAACTGTGAAGAAGTAGGTTAGATATAGGTAGTTACTGCACTACTACCGGTACCAGTATTTAATGTTTACAAGCTGCAATAAATATATACTCGTTATAACATAAAGATATGAGTATAGTTTATGTCAAAGTTAGTTATATGTTATGTAATTTCGTGGTTGATATTCATACACCGTGCTATAGACCGTGCATAACCCAATATAATTATTTATAAATACATTTATATATATATATTAATATAATCACGTCTAAATTAATTTTCTTAGCAGGAGAAACAGAGGTGAAATAAATCGTGCGGTTACTGCATATCTATCACTTGTATTGTAGATTGTTCTAGAATTAATCGTTGTATAGACATCCTACTGCCTACAACAACCCTTTTAAATTTATTTTGTAGCCAGACAGCTAGTTTAGGCCAATAGTCGGTCATAATAAAAAATGAGCTTTAAGGCAGGTAATATTATCATTTGCGCAGTTGTGAGAAGAAAAAATGTCGAGTTCAACCGTCTTACTAATATATTGTAACGGATAATTTAATCATTTTCTGTGCATAAAAAAATACAGCGATTCGGCTTCACACTATAAACGTATACAACCTGTTATTCAAAGCCTTCACCTACAAAACGAAGTACATATTATTCCATGTTGGATTATACAGTTATACTAGATAGGTACTTCATACATTTATTTAATTTCTATATACATATAAATCTCGAGGATTGCGCTTATGTATTTAGATTCGGCCCTTAAATAGCTGCTTTGTAAGTCCTAGCATAAATCATAGTTTAAGAGGTACCTACCATACAGAGGCTATACTATAAAAACATTTCACAGTGATGAATCAAAAATTATATCCGGTTGTTCGAGAATAGTTTATGAAACGTTGTTTTTTATGGCACGGCCCTTAAAAACCAGTAACATTTTTTTCTTAAGAGGTGAACTTAACTAAACACACGTATATTAATATATCATAATAAACAAATTAATATTTTATAATAATTTTTTTGATCAGAAATGTAATGTGTTACAAATATTGTTTAAGTATTTTATTGATATTTAAAATATTTTCAGTATTTTTTAATAAAATGTTGTAAACAGTATTTGACGCCATAGATAATAAAATAATAGATAGGCCATCCGCCTATCTCATGAAGACTTCAAGTCTTTATGCCTGTACTAATAACACACTGGATCACGGTCCGGAGATTGGGAAGAAAGAAAGACAATGTTTAATGCAAGGTACCTATTACATTTACGACCAATTGGGAAACTATCTAAATTATTTTCAAAAGAAAAAAACATTAAGTTTTACAACAAGATTCAGTAATAAGTCATCATCTAACAAGTTTCGATGGCGGAGAATCATACGTTATACGACATTTAACTAGAATAATATTTGCTTGGGAATTCAGTGGTGCTTTTAAAACCACAAAAAAACATAGAGCTCGATTGTTATGAATAGTATTTACGGTTTAAGGAAGATCGTACACACCATTGGCAAGACAAATTGTTAACTTCAGGTGGTTTTCCTTGACACAATACGAGTGTTAGTTGGTATAACAAATATTAAAACCTATCTATGTTGTTCGTTATTCAAAAACACACAATCGGAAGGACGGTAGCAGTAAAACGGGAAAAATAATATAACCTTATTGTGGAAGATTTAATAGTAATATTTTAGTTTGAAACCGACACCAAGATAACTTTTAATACTTAACTAATATGTGTTGTTTTATTTTATATTCTACTAGAGCGGCTGATTGACCTTGAAACAGTCTATAAAGTGAAAGTGAACTTCTCGACAAGTTTACATAACTCGTTCGAGAGATAAAATAGTCTTCTTTCAGTATTCTTATTGTCTTACAGGTAACAGGTCTTGAATGAATTCTCGGCCCTTGCGCAAACACCCCCTTGGTGTCTACGACCTGTATTTTTTTAAATGACACAATAAAAGAAACACAAATAAACATTAACATACGATAAAACTACTACGTTAAATTATTTTTTTAAATACAAAAAATATTTGTATTTATCATTATATAATACTTCAACAACTTAAAAACAATTATAGAAAAAAAAAAAAAACAATATTAATACATTTAAAAAGCATTAGCCGATTCTAAAGTTTTATGTTTTTCGTTGACAACCAATTTGAGAAATACATCAGTGAAAAATACATCTCTTAAATTTTGTTCAGCTTCTCTAGCAATTTTTCTGATTCGACTTCCTTTGTTTCCAATTACTAGTTTCTCTATGCGTAATGTACTGCAACCGATTAGTACAACAATGTGCATATTACCTGTAAAAAATATATTTTATACTATGTTAATTGATATTATTAAAAAATGAATCAAATTACCATCAGAAGACAATTCAAAATATTCTAATTCAATTTGCAAATTGTACGGAACTTCATTGGGAAGATAGTTTAAAAGTTTTGATTTGACAACTTCCAATATCAGATCGGTATCTTGTTTATCGGTCAGTGTACCTTCGGGGAACATCCATGCTGATGGCTTACTGTTGTGCAGTAAGTAATCCTAAGTGAAAAGAAAAATCATTGATATATTTTAATAATTATTATAAATACAATTTAGTAGTTTAAATACCTTAATATCTTGCACTCCGTCTCCAGTTAACGCAGACACCATAAATACGTCTTTGAATTTTTCCCATCCTACACTATCTTTTATTTTTGCATTTAATTGTATTTCGCTTATATTATTCGATAAACGATTTGTTTCAGATGCACAATTTTCTTTGAGTTTTTTACAAGTTAGTGTATTTGCCAAATCTAACAGCGTGCGTCTTGATCTGAAGGTGTCAATCTGAAATACATCAGTTTATAGTTAGAATTGTCATTATTATAATAACTGAACATTACAAAAATTAATACCTTGTTCAATATTAAAAATGAATCTTTATCAGGATATAAATGTAGTAGTCTCAACACTTTGGGATCTAAACAGCTTCTAGTATATCTGTTTGATACGTCGTGTAAAACACCAAATGTGTCGGCCTCGTCTATCGCACACAAAGAATCATTCGTAAAAGTTTTTTCCAAATTGTGCCTGATAAGTACATAATTAATAAAAACATAAAATACAAATTGGTACAGTAAAAATGTGTTCCCAAGTAAAACATTAACTACGTACTTAGAAATTTCTTCAGAATTTACTAGACCGGGCGTGTCTAAAAATACTATTTGTGTTTGGTTTTGAACTAGAATAGCACGAGCCTTTGATCTAGTCGTATGAACTTTTTTAGAAGTCGGTAATACCTAAAAGGATAATTAAAAATAACATATTAATGATATTATATTAAATAATTAATATAAATTATAATTTGATTGTACATTTCTTTGCATGATCATATTGATCAGAGTGCTTTTGCCTGCATTTGGCACGCCGATTATCGCTACTTTCAAGAGCCGTTGTTGTTCCACAGTCTGTTCATTATTTCCAATAACCGATCCTTCCTTCGTATTATGTATAAATCTTAGTGAAGTCGGTGAGTAGTTTGGTGATTTTAGCAAGATTGATACAAGCCAACTTCTTGGCAACTTTACCATTTTCGAGTATTGAAAAACTAAATCCTCATTGAGTATATAACATTTGAAGAACAACCGGAAACTTTTCAGTTTTGTATTAACTTGTAAATCATAGTTCTCACTTACATAATTTTCTCAGCAAAATATGTCAAATATTAGGTTATTTGCATTAAGCCATAATAATTTACAACGTTAAATACTTGAATGTGTTAATTATTGTCATGTAGGTATGATGTGCGCTTGCCGCTTAGAAAATATATCTTAGATTATGATAATACTGTTATCAGTGATAGTACCACAGAACAACCAGAAGGGCAGGGATTGATAAGTGTCCGACATTTTGTTTTCGCGGATTACGTACAATTATCATGATTTTTCCTGAGTCAGTGTGCCGAAACATGGGAAAACTGAATTTTTCTAAAGTTTAGTAGCTGTTATAGTCTGGAGAGTGGCGAAAATATTATGGCAGCCAGGCTTTTTCGGTAGCTAATGTATTTTTCTAAAGTTTCCCTTCCGGTTATTATGGTAATATCATAATGCGATACTATAACCTAAATTTCAGGGATAACACAGTTACCACGAATGTTGCGTGCTACGATGTTATGTTACTCCGACATTTTTGTTACGAATGACAATTGCTACGACGACAATTGACACGAATACATTTACAACGAAAATATGTTTTCGCTTTTATTTTTTATGCCACGATTTACAGTTACATCAAAGTTCCATTTTTAATTATTGCTTCGAATTACATTTACCTCGAATTCCTGTTACATCGACATGACTTATCAAAAAATCTTAATGTTATGATTTCGCTATTTTATAGGACATTTACATTGATAAACATTATATGGACCTTAAATTCCATTTACACTGACATGACCCAACAAATAATTTATATAAAACTATAAATAATATAATCTGAGTAAAAACAAGTTTAAAATTGTTCAGCAAGATGTAACTCAAAGTTAAAATAACATTAAGGGGACCGCAGCATGTTTTTTATAAAAAAATATTAAGTATAAATATCAAAGAAATTAAAAAAGGCCAACCCATTGATAAAGTGTTTCCCTATACATTGTGAGAATTTAGTAAATCTACCCCTTAAGGGGGTCGGAGCACAACTAGTTTCATGCGTTTTAGCGGTGCTTAATTAGACATACTTCTCAATGTTGGATTTTTAAAGTATGTATGGATTTGTTGACAAATTGTCTGGGTTTCTTAGGAAGCCCATTTTTGATTTAAAATGTTATGCCTAAAATAAACTCAAATAAACTATCATTGAATTTTCAAAAAAAATAATTTTGGAGATCTTCAAAAGAGAAAATTAAAAATCGCCTTCCTAAAAAACCTTGAAAATTTGTCGAAAAATGCATACATGTATTAAAAATTAAAGTCCAACATTGGGAAGTATGTCTAATTAAGCACCGCTAGCAGATGATATTTACCAATATAAAGTTAACAACATTTTTATTTTAACGTTGTAACTTACTTTATTAATAACTAGAATTCAATTGAATTGAATAAATTACCACTACTGTGCTTACCAGTCGTGAGTACATTGGTTGCTGGCTGAAATGTGTGTTACTATGCTGAAACGGCTGCGATAACAACCGTCTCAGACTTCAGTTGTTTTTCAGCTTTTCACGAGCAAACGACATTTTTGTTGGAAATACAGTTTTTGCGTTTCAAGTATTATATCTAATATTCTGAAATATGTGCTCTATGGAGAAGATTTTGTGGGCCGGCGGCGCCGTTCTAACGGTAACTGGCGGCGGTTACCTGCTCTATAAGGTATGCGTATGAACATACATATTGTTTGATGACATGTTCAATGACACACCTTCGACCAGGGCTCGCTGTTTTGTCAGTGTCAGCACAATAGTTATTAGTTTAAATAAAAATTGTTCTCGTGTTCAAGGCCAAAAAGAAATGGTGGGACGCGGCACCGGTAGAACTTGCACCGGTTGAACTTACACCGGCTGAATCCGCACCGGTAGAACCCGCATCGGTAGAACTTGAACCTGTAGAACCCGCATCGGTAGAACTTGAACCTGTAGAACCCGCACCGGTAGAACTTACATCGGCTGAACCCGCACCGGTACAACTTGCACCTGTAAACCCTGCACCGGTAGAACCCGCATCGGTAGAACTTGAACCTGTAGAACCCGCTCCGGTAGAACTTGCACCGGTAGAACCCGCTCCGGTAGAACTTGCACCGGTAGTACCTGCGTGTTACTACCACGACAGATACGGGTCGGCGGCGCACAGATGTCGTCCTCCGTGCGGCTACAGGCCAACTGAGGCAGGACAGCCGGAGCCACCGTGTGTGTACCACAGGCGACACGGCGCGGATGCAGTAAACTGCATACTGCCGTGTGGATTTGCAGGAGTGCAGGAGTACGGCATAGGGGAGCCCGTACCATATTGCATATACCATCGACGGTTCGGTCCGGAGGCGGTGAACTGCCGAGCCCCGTGTGGCTTTAGGGCCATACACTGAGGTAACACATTCATTAGTTTCCACAAAAAGCAACATACTGCAACGCGTTGATAATATTTCTTTGTCAGTCTCCTTTTTTTTTCTCTCTGTTAATATTGAACCCAGGTATATTTAACTTGTTTGACTCTACTGAACTCATATCTACAGACTTTCAGGTGTGGAAAAACGGCCGTACTATCATGTTGGAGACCACTACAATTATTAGTTGTCTACGGCCGCCGTGTTTGAACCCATCACGTTGTTTTTTCTCTCTATCTATTCAAGCTGTCATCCCTGTGGTCGCATTCATTTTGTTGACCGCCGTCTCAGCCATCCTCGCTGTGGCCGTCATTCATGTGGTTGGCCGTCGACTAAGTTTTGTAAATTAATAGTTATTTAAGTTTATGTAGAAAAATTGTCCTGTTTATTACCTTTCTCGTGAAAACCTTAGTGATACTAATACACTTAATTAATGATCACCTAATAAATATGTACTGTGTTAATACGGATGTTATTGTTTAATATGTTAGGGAACTCGGGGCAATTGCCCTGATGTCGAAACACTTAAGCTAAAATATTATGTACTTACTCGAAATAAGTTTACCGACACAAGGGCTTTAAAAACCAAGTCGCTATTTTACTACTTTATCTATTTTACTAGAGCTTCGCTCTAGCTGGGAGCTCCGCCTCCAGGCCCCCGAGTCGGGCGGTTAGGTCACAGATTCCTGGTACTGTACCCGGCTACGCCGGGCACGCTCACGTCCTCTCGCTGCAAAGTATTTTCGGGGAGGTCACAGATTCCGAGGGGGGTGCCCGGCTGCGCCGGCCACGGTATGTGGAAGTCAGTGCACAGCGGTTCCTATGGGGGTGCCCGGTTGCGCCGGCCACGGTGTCGAGCCATCGCAATACGTCTTAAAGGAATGACGTTATAATTCTTGGTACCTATAGGCTGTATCTAGTAATCAGAATTCATACCTAGTTATGGACAAATATTTGCAAGCTAAGTACTGATTAAGTGTAGAGTAAGTCTAGCTATGTATCTGTAATTTTTTTAAATTTTGAATTGAAAAGAATAGTATAGAAGTTAGACGGTTAATAAATATCAAGTGTCCGGTGTTGCTTACTTGGGTTGCTACCACTTTTACCAATTTTTATGAACTAACAATGTCCAGTTCCTTATCAGCGGGCGGAATTCGTATTGAAAACTGATAAGGACGGCAGGTCTCCGAGTGTTTTGGCATTCACTCGCTTCGCCAACTAAAAATATCCTAGGTTTGTAGGCTACAGTCTATGAGGAGGTAACAGGTTTAAAATTAAGTTTAAATTAAAATTTTAAAAAGTTAAAGAGGCTTGATAAGAAGCTGGCCATTGGGAAAAAGTGTACAATGGAAATTGTCTTTGGTAAAATTTGTTATATTATAGACCACGTCATCAATATAGGCCGGCGTCATCCCGCTTAATTTTATGAGTTGAAAACAGATAAAAATGTCTAGAGGACAGTCAGCTAAATGTCTGTTAAGGTTTACCTTTGTGAAACAAAATTTGTTTAATTGTAGTATGTTATATGTCTGTACACAGCAGTTCCGAGGGGGGTGCCCGGCCACGGCGTCGAGTCAGCTCACTACGTTTTAAAGTATACCGTTATAATTCATCGTACCTTTATCTAGTAATCATAGTTCATACTTAGTTTCGAAAAAGTGTTTTGCAAGCTAAGTACCGGTTAACTGTAGTGCAAGTCTAGCTATCTGTCAGATCAGAAACGTCCTACTACTAAAGCGAGTGTGCTACTTGCTTAAAGGACAATTTTTTTTTTTTTTTTAATTTGAATTGTTTGAGGTGTTGTTTACTTCACGGGCTTGGTAATAGCTATGGTTAAAAATAGAAAGAAATGTTTAGAGGTCAGTCTGTATATGTCTGATATGGTGTTCCTATGTGCAACAAAACTTTTTCAAACGTATACGTTATATGTCTAGATATTGGTTGAATTAAAATTCTTATTTGTTCAGAAATCACCGTCTATGCCATTTTTCGGTAATGACGTACTGTACGTTTAGAATGTAACCAACAGCATAATGCATTAAATATGTATATTAAAGGTCTGGTGGTTTAACAGAAGTTCTTAAGTGTTTAAGAATTCAAGAGTAAATCACATGAATGAAATGTCTAGAGTTTATATTAAAACTTAAAAGGGAAAGAAGTGAAGAGTGATAAATACATTATTTTAATTTTTGATCGACTATTTGGCAGAGCTTATAAAAATGTCCAAAGAGAGGTTAAATGAAATGTCTCGATGCAAATCTTTTAGTTTTTGGATCTGGATCTTTAATGCTAAAGGTACTTTGTTACTTAAGGTCTGACGTTTGTTGGTTATTAGAAGTTTAAAAGTGTGGAAGAATGATATGTTTGTGTGACGGTTACTTAGGAACTCAAGAGTACAAAACATGAATGAAATGTCTGAAATAATTTGTAGCAAATATTTTTGATTATTCGAGTGTCCGGCGGTGATTATAAAAACGGCCAGAGTACAAAATGATAATAATAATAATAATATTCAGTGCATAAAATACCTAAATTATTTGATACTTATCCAGACATATTTTATACATAATAGATAAATTGATATATACATTAATACTTTTTTAAGTAAACCATGAAAGGTATAAATCCATATGTTGATATATTTTTAGATGGCTAACCAACAATTCATCCTACTAAATGATAATAATCAAAAATTTTAAAATAATTTTATTTTTCATTATGTAGTATCAATTTAAAAAAATATAGCAAAATCTATAGATTTACTATACTTTTTTAGGGTGGAGCGAATACTTATGTTATACTTCTATAAATAATAAAATAGTAAATTAAATGTTGATTTTCAATATAAATTTTAACCCTTTGAAGCACAGCATTTTTTCTCCGATTTTCTCTGAACATGATTATGAAGGTGGTAATAAATATATACCACTGTGCGAGAGTAGGCTATTTTTTGAAAAAGTGGTATATTACTTATACCACCATGCTTCAAAATGTTAAAATGCAATAAAATGATTTGAAATTAATATTTTATTTTTATGTTTTAATTATGCCCTATGTCTGAAATCACACTACAAAAAAAACCAAAATAGTCAATATTAATAAGTATCTAATTTAGTTCAAGCTATATCAACAGCAGCTCAAAAAAAAAATATATACATACATATAATATAAAAAATTAACATTAAATAGTTAGTAAAAATAAATGTTCAGACAATTTTTTTGATTTTTGATTACTACTCATAAAAACGGTCTAAGAACACAAAATGTTGAACGCTAAAATAATCTAAAGACAACTGTTTTAAGAATTTAAAAAGATGATATAGGGACTTTTGCTGATGCTTTTAAAAAACATACCTATAATTTTTTATAATAAGACTGTGTAAAAATGCATTTACTCGTTGGTTAAATAAGTATTATAAAGCCAGGGAGTAAAAACTGGAATGATTACAATAGCATAAGTTAAAATATTAAAACCACAAATTAAGTCAAAAAACAATTTTAAAAACCCCAAACGGTTAGTGATAGTACTCGATAGTGATCATACATATTTATATAGGTAAATCATCCTATTAAATGAAATAATTAAAATATATTCAAATAATGCCAATTTAACGTGAAATAATATATCATTAAAAAAAAAATATATAAAAAAACTAAAATAATTTTTATTCTATGTAGTGATCATAATTGTACAGCTTAAACAAAAAAATTTGAAATAATTAATGTCTTAATTATTTGTACATCAGTATCGTATGTGTGTGCACGTTAAGAAACTAAAGCGTTAAGAGAAGTCGGTTAAGACACTGTATAATGAAAAAAAAAACTGTCAATTTAAATTAGGGTTGAGTATAGAGATTAGATAGGCACTAATTATTAAAAAATACTTCATAAATAACAAAAAATGAACTTTTATGGTGTAAGTTTTCTGTTGGCCGCAGACAAATTAATCGGTGACGGCATAGGATAACAGTCTGTAACCAATGGTAACAATAATAACTACTTATTGTATTAATTAAAGACAGAGTAGATAGAAGTAGCAATCAATCTTCTAAACGGACACGCGTCGGTTATGATTTCACTATAGTATTGGCCTAAAACAAATAATTTACATATATATAAAATAAGTCAGTAAGTTATTTAATTGAAAATAAACAGTAGATATATACGTCAACAAATTTTTCAACAAAAAATATGAAATGTATCGTTATCACCACACACAGCGGTTTGAAAAAGATCTATACTCTACACATACAGTTGATTTAAAATTGAAACACTGGTTCAATATTATTACTTTTTTATAATACCAATTTGTTTTCACATATTAATCGTAATTAAAAACTAACTTTTATATTGTTACAATTATTTTATAATATTGTAAGTTATTGTCCATTTTAAGTGACTCTAAAACCTAAAAATAATTGTTTATAATACCAGTCACAACGAATTAACAATAATATATTCGAAAATCTATCTGAAACCCTTGGGCCTCAATTTGAAGCAATCACCTACCTTCTAAATTATATTATATTACAATCAGATTTATATAATTATTTATTAAAAAAATAGTTTATAAAATTCTTATCTTATTTGTCTAACTTTTCTATTTTAAATGTATAGTCTACTGTATTCAATTATGTATATCAACTATTTTAATGAAACCCTTACAATGGCCTTTGTTGCCAAAGGGTTTTACCCAATAATTAAAAAAAATATTGTATATTAAAATGTGCAATTGATAATAAAGAATATACTATAAAACGTAATTAATGAATTTAATATAATGTAATATTACATATTAAATTCATTATGCCCGGTGGTCAAGTATTCTTATCATGTATAGTCGAAGTAAAATACTTTCGTGGTATCACAATATCGGGTTAACTGTTGTATGATTCTTTAATTACTTTACGATGTCGGGTATGTTAAATTCGGGCTAACCGTCTAATCGTAGTAATTGTATATTCGAAGTAGATTATATTCGTGGCAAATGACTGATAAAGCAATGTCGGAGTAACTACGAGTCGTGGCATGCAACATTCGTGGTAACTGTAGCAACCCAAATTTCATGACAAAATTAACAGGTATGTTAGCAAATTGTGATAACGGCTGCCGGTTGTTAACTTTTAATGGGCTACCATATTGTAAGAAATTGATAACAAATGTTACCGACTACTGTCATACCGTTTTGTCATGCTAGTTATTACGATGAAATTCAAATTCGCCACATGATATACGACGAACCGTACCGCCATTTTTTGGCCAACTTATGTACAATCTACATTGTTAATTTAAGTGTACTGAATGTATTGGCAATGTTTCTATTATCATTATATTATATTTATAATTAATAAACGAGTGCTATTTCTTATACAATTAATTTATAATATAGCATCGTAATAAAATTAATAATTATTATTTGTGGTGACATAAACCGTGTCGGATGGATGATAACTGTCATCACTCATAGTCATAATTAAAAAGTTACGATAGCTAGCTATAATAAAACAGCTTTTAAAGAACATTTCGGATCCATAGTCTTGACTCTAAATTAAATATACTTATTCTTTACTTACCATGGTTTAGTACGACACACCTCACACAGGCGAATGAGAATGTAAAATGGAATAATAAAAAAAAGAAGAGGAAGAAATTAGTGGATTTTAGCCGTGTTGTTCGTACAATAAATAATGTACAATTAGGATTTTATAAAACATTAAACAAAATAATTATTACATTCCTAATTTTTTTTATTAAAAAAACAAAAATAATAAATAAAATGTATAACACTGTATACAGTATAATCTTGACATTACCATTATGTTAGGATAAGTGTTATAATGCACAATAAGAAATGGATTTAAATTTGGGATCTTCTAAACAGAACACCGATTAGTGTTTTATTTTAACATTTATTTATTTTTTATTGCGGTATAGCACTCAATTTTGGACAACTCATTCCACGTTACTGAAAAACAAAAAACAATAAGTACTTGTCGCTACTAAAATGACTACTAACACCACCTTTATTAATTTTTCACATTAGGTATGCTTGTTAGTAGTTTTATAGCATTAAACGTATTTAACAATTGTAAATACAGCAGTGTTTAAAAATGCATACATTTTCATACAAGCTCTTAACAATATCTAAGACTATAATATTTGACTCAATTCATAATGAGAATTATGAAAATTAATCACAAATGAATATGTTACTTTTTTTTCCCATAATGTTAGTAAAACTTGTACAATTAAGACAGTAAACAATAATAAAAAATACAAATTTAGCTTAACCAAGAGATCATAAAATAAATTAAAAATTCTAAACATTAATGAAGATGTAGAAGATCTAGTTAGTTGGTAGAGATTGACAACTAATACTTTTTTGTATTAGATATTTGACTAGTAACAAGTCGTGAAAGCAAATAATTTTAATGTGTTAAAATATATTGAATTGTAGTCACCAAATGACAGTTAGATTAAGCAAGCACTTGAATATTAATTAAAAGCTGTGTTAACACTAAAGAATTATAGTTTGCCAATTAAAAATTAAAATTAACGCTATTTTGTAATGTTTAACCATAGTATAGGTATTAAAATGATACATTAACCGAAATAATGTTGTGTAGACGACATTGTGAACAAATGACTAGTAAGATTTTTAAATAAAAACAATCTGGGCTAATATAATTGTGTCCATTAATTAAAGAAATGTTAGTAAATAGTTTAAATGGTGAAAAGTTATGAAAAGAAATTTAGCAGTTAGATTGCTGAAAAAATATAAATATACAAAGTATACTCATTGTTTAAAATTTGTAAATAATTATCTTTTACAGCGCACTTTCTTTGCACGTTCAACCGCAATAAAAACTAGAAATTGTTAACTTTATTTTCTCTGTTTAACAATAAATATGCGATTATCGAAATTGTTCACGTAGACGACATGACAGAACTGTTAGCGATTTAATTGAATACATTAATTTATTAATCTATCTTAGGAGGGTTTTATACCACAAATGCTAAGTAAAAAAAAACCACAATATGTTTAATACCTAGTGCCCAATTACATTCGTTAATTTATAATTTTATGAGGCAAAATTCTTCTTGATCGGGTACATACACAATGCGTAAAGTGTTGGTGTATCCGGATCCCTTCTTCCATCCAGTGACGATAACAACTGGATCTCCGGATTGAATGAAACCACGAGCCTTACCGAACTTGATCGCATGAACGACACGGTTGTCAATGTCCTTCAACCAGTCTGATGACGGTTGTTCTGTGGTAAAACATTAAGCAAATATTGACTTCCGTTTTGAGTTTTGACGTTTAGTTAAAAATGCTTACCATTGTAGTACAAAGGCAGAATACCACGGTAGATGTGACATTGACGAGCAACTTGAGCGTTCCTGGTCACAGCTACGATAGGACTACGAGGACGGTACTTGGAAAGAAGGTGAGCAGAGTTGCCCGACGTTGTAAGAACGATAATTGCAGCGGCCTTACATTTGTTAGCGGCATCCACGGCGGCGATAGCAGTAGTGTGAGAAGCGCCCAACGGTAAAACAACCTATGAAACAAATATATTTATACAAAATTAAAGAATAGAATGTCCTAAAATAATTAATAAAACTGTATTAAATAATACCAAACTTTGTTTAAGGCTAATAAAATAATACTTACAGCAGATGATAAATCGGAGTACAATTGTTTTTGCCAAACCGCAGTCTCAGCTTCCTTGCAGATAGTGGCCATTGTTCGAACGCATTCTAAAGGATATTCACCTTTAGCGGTTTCGCCAGATAACATGACACAATCGGCTCCATCCAAAATAGCATTGGCGACGTCAGATGATTCAGCCCTGGTTGCACGGGGTTTCTTGATCATAGATTCCAACATTTGAGTAGCGCAAATTGCTGGTTTACCGGCCTTTGAAAAGATGATTATTATTTTATAATACTGTCATTTTAGTAAAAAGTAGCAAAAACATATACTTTGTTGCAACGGGCGATCATAGCTTTTTGTGCAAGGAAGACTTTTTCTGGTGGGATTTCAATACCCAAATCACCTCTAGCGACCATGATACCATCAGACGCCTCAATGATTTCTTGCAAGTTCTTCATGCCTTGGTGGTTTTCGATTTTCGATATGATAAGGATATTTTTTCCTTTTTCACCTAAAAAGAAAACACACATTGTCAGTGCAGAGCTGTATTTATTTCATGAATATTTACCTAAAATTTCTCTGATTTCCTTAATAGCAGATGCTTCACGGATGAATGATGCAAAAATCATGTCCACGCCTTGTTCAACTCCAAACTGCAAATCGCTTTTATCTTTTTCGGATACAGCCGGAAGATCAACAGGAACACCGGGTAAGTTAACACCTTTGCGACTTCCCAATGATCCACCATTCTCAATTGTACAAACAACATAGTTGCTTCCTTAAAACATTTCAATCCATTATTACTTTATGAATAATATTGTAAGTGTTACTTGATACTTCTATTTAAAAGTGCATCTATGTATAATTATATTATATAATATAAATAAAAATAATGTCAACACTTTACTTTATTTTAATAATTTTTGGCTGCATTAGACCAGCTCATTAAAATTTAGTGTACAATTTCATATAAAATATTTGATTAGTAATAATAATAATTATTGGTAGCTAATAAGCAAACTTAATTAAATACAATAAAATTTAAAAAAGAAACCGTAATTAAAAAACCATTCAGCCTTTACCTTTTCAGCTTAACGATAAAGTTTCATTTTTTATTTGAAATACGTACAAACATTTTTTTTAATTTGAACTAGAAATTGCATTTCTAATACTCTTAATGTTAAACTAAACTGTCTATCTCGACTTTTAGTACTATAAATAAATGGTGTTATGCAGAGAGCATCCATCCCATAAAAACATAAAAAATGATATTTCAATACTACTTTATACAAAATGTCTCTTTGCACATTTTGCAAAATGCAATAATTTTTTAAAAAAAAACTTAATTAAATTAAGCGTGACCGGCATACATTTCTAGTCTGAATCACAGTATGACTAAATTTGACTGGGGTACATTCATACCTCACGTAACCAGTGATAGGTTAAACATTTTTTTTTTTAAAACATCAAATTATTCCCAAATCTGTCTAATTTATCTGACCCTGACTTAAAACCTACATGCTTAAAATGTAAAGAAAGCAAAATGACAAAAAATTAATGTCTCGGTAATTTTTTTTTTTTGAGTGTATAGTATTTGCATAAGAAATATTTTATAATCACAATATTAACAAATAGCATATTTTAAAGTTTAACACCAATTAATGAACTTACCAATTTGTTTCACAATCAAAGAAATAAGACCATCATCAACAAACACTCGGTTGCCTGGTTTTACTACTTTTGTGATATTAGGGTAATCTACATACACTTCAGTAGCGGTTCCGCGAGATTCAAAGTCTTTGTCGGTTGTCAGACGAATAGTGTCACCTTTCTTTAGTTCGATCTCAGCAGATCCACCCTAAATTTCGTACAAAAAAAATGAGTTCAGTGGAATGTTAACCAAAGCACTTTTTTACTACTTACGCCTTCCAACAATCCAGTTCTGATTTCAGGCCCTTTAGTATCCAAAGCAACAGCCAATGGACAGTAAATGCCAATCTTTTTACCGTAGTTTTCAGCGGCTTGTCTCAAGTTCTTAATAGTATTAGCGTGGTATTCATGAGATCCATGAGAGAAATTTAATCGACCAACATTCATGCCGGAGTCGATCATTTCTTCAAGTGTCTCCACGGCGACAGACGCTGGCCCTAAGAGATTACAGCCATTAAATTAGTAAGTAAATAAATAAATAGAAATTATAAAATAAAGAAACTCACCGATAGTGCAAATGATACCAGAGAGACGAACGAACTGAGCTTCGACATCGATATCGAGCGAGGACATATAATCTAAGTGAGTGGAAGTATTGTCATGTTGATATACTGCTTTAGACATCTGAAACATTGAATTTGAATAGCAATTTAACCTTATTTTATTTTTAATTAAATATACTATGCTTAATTTAGAAAAAATAAATGTTTATTCTGACTTTCTGCGGTTGATTTATGAGAGATAACCAAGTAGACTTCTTATGATTAGTATGGATTGTGTTTTTTATACTTAAAGAATTGCATAACTTTATTAAACTTTCTTTAGATTTAGTAACTTTAAATCCAATAGGACGAAAAAACATATTAAAATAATCAACTTGTGTTGCAAAAAATTCAAGCCTAAGTATTCCAGTATTGGCAAGCAACTCTTTTTTATTTTTAATAGATCAAGCAGGTAATGCAAGGAAAACTATTGAGAGCATGCCAAAATTTAAAGCATGGTTCAATGTACTAATTTAAAGAATTTTTTTCTATTCCAAGTTAACCAGTATTGCTTACAATTATATATATTATAATTTGATTGATAATTAGCAAATATTTTAAAATTTAGATTGACATCCTGTCCAATTAACATTTTTGGTTTTTTTAAAGATAACAGAAGAATAATTATTAGCCGTTGCAATAATAAGTTATAATTAAATTCATTATATTAAAATACAATAAAAATAAAATGCATGCACATCTATAATAATTAATGGATAAATAATTTTGAAAAGCTAAACAAAATAAATTAACTATAAAAAAAGTTTAATTTAAGGTCTGATGAATAGGTGAAGCCAATCATGTTTTTAAATAAAACCAACAGTATTAAAATTTTAATCAACTAGATAAAAAGTTATGAAGAATTAGACAAATAGTCTAAGCGATAAATAGTTATTTATTTTTAAATAGAGTTGTTTGATAGATTAATAAGCTTATTATTATATTTTTGTTTTCATTAAATTGCTTTTGAGATTACACATTATAGCTTATTGTATAATAATACTTTATTATGCAAAAAGAAATCCTATTTTCTTAAAACACGAGCAAAATAATTCATACGACTTTCAATAACAAGTATCGTGATACGAAGGTCAATCGTATACCTCGGTTCACCCTTGAACTGAAAAAAAGGCGAAATTTTTAAACAAAAACTATTAAAGCACTGCTTTCGTGTACAAAATATATAGAAATATGAAAGTTGTAAAGTTTTAAAAACCTCAGGCAGTGAAACCTTGCCAGGAAACTTGGGTTTACAACCAAATCTTTTAGAAAATGCCGACGACAACACAGCTGCCGATATTGGTTTTTGCTTATAACCATTTGCAACAGCCAGCCGAACCGTAGTAGACAGTAAGCGGAACATTTTGTAAAACAGACACAAAAATGTTACAAAAAAGAAAAACTGTAATGTCCCAAAAACATAATGAATCCAGCAACCGACATAGAGTCGAGGCACCTAATGAAAGTGGGCGTTTAAGCAAGTTTTGTAGACTAGATAAGATAATGACCGTTTAATATATGCCCATAGATTATCGAAAAACAAAAAGAACCAAAACTCTTTTTACAAAAAAAAAAAAGGTGTAAGGTGCACTATGCGGTTTCAAGGTTAGCGCAATGTCACGTTTTCACAGAAACACACACACACACACGTCGGTTTAGTCAAAAGTGCATGTCTAATGTACACCCTTTTTTCGAAAGAAATATAATATACACGGATATTTATACTCACGTTTGTTTGTTTTCGAACGAGGTTTGCGGGGAAATGTAGGTATTTTTTGTTTTAAACGTTTTCGGCTTTTTTTTTTTCACCAGAAACACAATCGACCGTACCGTATCGAACCGGAGGAGTGTGCCAGAGTTTTGGCTGACTGAGTGAATGTGGTAACGATATTATTATATTTTTCGACTTTTTTTTTTTTTTTCGCGTAGGTACGTTAGTATACGAAGTGGGGTGTTGAAGAAAATATTAAAGACGATCGCGGAGATAACCCGATGACGGCTGAAGGAAATATATATTTATATTACCAAGGTGAACCGTCAATAACGATCACAGTTCGTACGTCAATTACCGGCTTGTTTTACCGGTCGGATTACAATTAAGAATCGAATCGGCTACTATACGAAATAATTATCGGCAACACATTCATACACACGACCCCGTTTGTTCGCTGATAACACGCGGATATTGTCTGATAACGACTACGCACAAGGTAACGCTCTTCACAAGGTATAGTCTTTTAGAACTGTTGTTATAATCGTTTAATTAGTATATTATGACAAAATAACATAACACCAATTAGGTCACATACACATAGCTTTAGATTTTAACTGTATGATATCTTTTAAACTGCGTACTAAATGTTATAAACACTTACACTCTGTGTCGCTCGTGTAATATATTATTACTATACCATTTGGTCGGCGATTAGGCGCGCACACGTGTTTTGGAAATATTTTTGAAAAACAATCTCATTCACTAAATGCATAAACGAACGCCTGGTAGCATGGAAAAAAGATAAACGGTCCATTCAAATTTAATAAACCAATCATGGGTCATTATCCGATGTTTAAAAAAACGGCTATTAAAATTTAACGATCCATTAATTAAACCTATACAACGATTATAATGCAACCGGGCACTAAAAAAAACATTTTAAAATCTACAATAAGTATATTTTGGGGAATAACGTAGTTGTTTGTTTATTTTTAATTTAAACGCCACGTTTAGTAATTGGTACGGATCAAAATACACGGAATATTAACTCTTATATTAGTTAAGACGCTTTAAGTAGCACCAAATATCCGTAAAATTTGGATGGACAGCATAGAACGAAAACGATTATAGATATTTTGTTGGCTAGGTTCGATCGAAGAGGGTTGCATGTGATTTGTTTTAATCGTTCAAATAAACATTTATACAATTGTATGTAGTATAGAATTCAAAAAGACAATGTACCAAGGTCTGTTTTTTATATGTGCCTTGTCAATCGATAGACAGGTCACGTGTTCATTGAAAGAAACGTACCTTTAGTGCAGTTTTTTGTTGAGTGCCTTGATATTGTGTAATATCATTAGGTACCTACTTAAATATTTTATTCTAAGAATTTTTGGATAAAGCATACACTTTTCTTCCAGTTTAGCTGCAGATAGACTGCACCAAGGACGTATTATTATTATTAAAATGTTTGTGTACACAACACGAAAACATTTGTGAATTGTTGAAATAATTTATTTGATGAGCATTTATATCGTTCGGAAATCATAATAAGTTGTCTAAAGTTAAATAAGTTTACTCTATTTCCAATTTTTCGAGAATTTACATATATTTCAAGCTTTAACTTTGACACTTTAGTCATTACCGACACAAAAATAGTCTTGAGTTATTTTCACAAAAAAGTTTTTGTGAAAATAATTTAGTTTCAGTAATTTATTCTTGGTACTTTGTTCCGATTAACTTTGAGATTCACCAACGTTCACAACACTAGCTCAAGTTTTCCTTCCGATTGTTTAGAATAAATAACAATTCATATTAATTATTTCAGAGTAAGGTCCAAGAGAGTAGAATTGCCTTTTCTTGTTTTTCCAAGAGTTTAATTTTGCAGAAATAGTTGTTGTAAACCTAAAATGTCTGAAGAGAACGTTAGGTTAGGTTTTTTTAATAATATTTAAATTCGTGAAGCCTTCTATTAACATAACTAAAAGAAATAGGTACATGATATTGATAGTTAATGTTTGTTTTCAAATGTAACGACGCAGTTGTTTAGCCTTTATTGTACAAAAGCGTGTCTCCTTTCTAAATAAGAAATATTTTTTACTAAGGAACTGTGCAGTTTTAGCGTAAAAGAATATCTATACAAATTTAGAATAAAAACAGTATCTAAATTTTGAATTTTCGATTAAGGTCAACTATCTATTTATTAAGTACTTGAAGCCCGATTAAATGACCTAGAATTTTACAAATTTGCAGTTGTTTTTAAAAACACAAAATGCGTTAGCTGGTATTTTTTATTACTTTTATGTCTATGAAAGTTTAAAAATGTAAACGTATGTAGCAGATAAAATATATATTAGTTACAAGGCTACAAAACCAGCAATCCTTATTAAAACTTATCTTTTTTTTTTTGCTTCAAATTTGGCCAATTAGAATGATTAAAAATGTGCTTTATAGTTCATAACAATTATGTAATACAGTTTGAATAGGAATTGTAATTTTTAATTACTGTATACCAGCGGTAAGTTAATTTAGCTGATCAATTTATTTAATCATCATCGTCAAATCAATAACATGTTTAGGAGTTGTGTGTTGTATGAAGTTTAAAAACAACTTAAACGATTTGCTGAATTCAATACTGATGGTTTAAAATAGCGTTCAACCCTCGTCTACCATCGATTCCGTCATCATTAATTGTGGATTATTTTAGACAATAATAAACAATTATAACCACTTGCAGTTTGATGTAGATAGAATTTATTTTTGTTGATGTTAATTGTGCTAGTCAAATTGATATCAAGTTTTTTGTAAATTTGCCTTTATTTTTAGGTCAGTGATTATATTATTATGCACAATTAGACTCGCTTTATCTAATGTGACGATATTCACGTCAAGTGTTATAACATTGTGATCATCGTAAACACCATGATATTATTAATCTTCTTGAACTCGAAAACTACTATTTTATCCCTTACCTTTCACAACTAGTCACGGTACCATTTTTTTCAGAATGGAGCTAAGGGTAATTCAATTTTCACCTCCGTAGAGTTATGCCTATTGACAACACTCAAATGTCTGCACACACTTGAAGTATCTTCGGCGCTTATTCAAGTTTCTGTATTTTTTTTCGTATAGCGCTCGTTGTAATACTTGGTAATCCCAGAAATAAATTCGTTTAATGTCACTAGGATGAAACTTCGCCATTGTTAGTCGCCAATACAGTTCAATGACCATTCATTTCAATAAGCTTCTATTAAACTTGACCAATGCAATTCTATTTCCAATGGAGCTCTATCTGTGTAGTCATTACTCCGTAAAATTTAGCACACATGTGATCTCATTTGTCCAAGTGAGACCTACTCACATTCGCATAAAATAATATCACTTTCTTGTACGACCCTTTAAATTGTAATTAATATATATATATATTTATATATATATATATTTGTATCTATGTAAAATCATAAAACAAATGCTTAAAATATTTTAAAAACGAAGTTTTTATTTTGGAATTATCGAGAATTTGTAGTATAAGTGTAATAAAGTACACAATTTAAAACTGTTTTATAGCACTAATGTCAGGCTACAGGATTAAATGGAATCTACTTTTAAACTCGGTAGCCCCACCCGGGAATACTTTTTTTTTGTTATACTATTCATATGTCACGTATTACAATATGCAATGTTACGCATTGTTTTATCTTTTATATTGATTATTCATTAACCTACTGGCCACAACGTACATAATATATTTTAACGGGCGGAACTGACTGTTGTACGTATATATATATATATATATATAGCATTTTACATAGCTATTGTATAACTTAATGGTAAAAAAGTATAATGATGCAAAATCATAATCATAATTACTGTAATGGAACCGATTAAATGCACACCACGTGGCACGCGTATAATTTGTGGTATGACTTTTTTTTGTGTATTCAGTAAAAGTAATTTACCATAAAAATATAGAAACCACAATTTTGTAGATAATATTAATAGTATAGTGTTTTATTTGACGTTCGATATATTTTCATCGTCTATAGATTAACGTCGAATGTTAGAGATTGATTCTTTTTATTCGTATTAGGTGTACATTGTTTCCTTACTAAATGTTAAACCACATTGGAATAAAATGTGATAAGTCCCATAGTACAGTTTAAATTCCGATAACAGTATATTCTTATATTATATCGTACTATAACGTTGTACTTTGAAAGTTGTGACTATTTAAATCCTAAGTCTTGGTCTATTTAAAATTTTGAATGTATGAAGAATTAAAATAATATTAGTTTTAAAAAAAATAATTTAAAGATTGTTCTTTTAAACCAAACCTACAGTCGTAAGTCTTCTTTGTAGAAGTGTGTAGGCCACATCGACTTATATAGTCAAGCTGTTTTTAATTGTTTACCCTTTCAGTGCGGTGACGGAGGGTTATCCAAGTAAGCCTTTCTGACTATTGATTTTTAAAAGTAGTATTTTCAATAATTCAAAATTATTATTTATTTATTTACAATATGTATGTCGGGCTGCTTACAAAGGTTCTTTTTTAAAAACTTTTACGATTCATCTATTATTATTATGTTTATTTGAAATAAACGCGGGGATAGTATTTGCAATATAAATATAAATACTTTGTAATTGTACCCATAACAAGTCATAAATTTAATACAGGGATAGCAAACGTTACCAAGCCAAAATATACATTGTTTATAACAAAAATAAATATTTTCCTCTTAAAAAGAAAAACGTTTCAATATATATATATGTTTTTCATACGGTTTATTGATTTGTGTTTGTTCCTTAATTAAACGTGAATCAATAACGGCACCGATATAAAAAAAGTTTAAGTAAAACTTTTCAATGAAAGAAATCCATCCCCGAAGCGCTTAAACTTAATATACATCTAATGAGTGTATATAAAGTTAAGGCGCTGATTCGGCGAATTACGCATCCCTTATAAGTTCTATCCATAAAACCTACTTGTGGGAAACATGCTCGGATAGGACATAAATATTAAATCAAATAGCGTATCCGCGTTTATTAACTGTTACGATTATTAAAGGATTTTATCCGTTCGTATATTTTATCGATTTTCGTTTTTCCTACCCTGACAACTTTATGTATTGTGTGAGGGGTAATGGTGGATGAACAAAAAAAATCGATTTGTATTTCTTGTTTTGTTTTAGAAAAAGTTCCTATGACGTTTTAAAAATGTAGGGCATTTGAATGAGTTGGCAAGTTTTCGGGTAGATTTGCATTCCAACAATCGAGGCATCGAATAAATTGTTATAAATCGCCGAATTCGACGACGTGCTCTTTCGTCGTTTTCACACTTTAATTATACTCAGGGCACCCTTTTACTCTGCAACACATTTGGCTTATACCCAAAGATAAACGTGACGCTATCCAAAACTCAAACAAACTGTCTTCCGGAGTGCTTAGTCAATATGCACAGTGTTTAATGTTTATACAACAGAGTACCTATGTCAAATTGATTACATGATAAAATTGTCATTAGGCAGAGCAAGTCAAACAGTGAACGCAAAACTAAAGTATCATTTGCCATTTGTCACTTTTGCGTTGCCACATAGTAAAGTCGGCGAGTAATTTAGAATTCAGAGATAATTTTGGGATGGCAACCTTTTCTAATATGAGGGGAAAATGGCAATAGTTTACCTAATGTAGCGTTATAAATACTCTATATTGCTTGTAGTTTAAATAGGTCAGTTTACTTACACAACAATTTCAATTTAATCGTGTAACGTCTAATTACACGTTTGTATGTACATAAAATAACTACCTAACCGTTTTTAACAAACAATAAACTAAATTAATTAAAATATCTATGAAAATATTGTATTTTGGAAGTACATGAATAATGGAAAATATGTCTTATATTTTTGTACTTTTCGATATTTCTGTTCTACAACCGTTATGGACTGTCACCAAGGTTCGTGGCCTTTTAATTACTGAAAGCGACCTTAGGATTTTTCGTTAATGCCGCGTTAAGTGATATCATTAGCGAAATCACATAATTGTTGTTGTTATGGTTGCGGAACCCAGTACTTCAAGGGGTAAATATAATTTATTTAGTGATTCATACAAAATTACGGAATAAGTAATTAACGACCACTACGACGTGGAAAGTAAGTATATAATCGCACTAAATTGTTATAATTAATGAGTGTAATGTTTCAATTAGAGGTTTTCTACTGTAATAAGATAGGATCATCTAATTTGGAGTTTTAAAGAGTTAAGAGACTACTTGAAATAGTTACAGATAACATGAAAGTTACTAATAGTAAATAACATAAAAGTAGTGTTGAAGAAAATTATTATCGCACATAAGTCGAGACTTCAAACAATGCCATTTCGGGTAATTACATTCCAAAAGGCTTTTAGAGCATTGTATGTTTGAAATTATTTTTGTGCTCTGGCGAGAGTTTTGCAATAGGTATGCAGTGTATACAGTTAGTCACTGCAAAAAAAAAAAAACAGCCAAATCAGAAATAAAGTTTAGCTGCACGGTCATGTTACGTTGAATACAAATCCAAAGTATATTTTGGCTATGTAATAGTCACGTACACTTTAGTGAGTTTAGGCGAACATTTCGCTCGAAAAAGTGCACAATATGTAGAATAACCCTATTCATTTTAAATTGAATCATTATAGTTTCAGATAATGCGTTACTATTCTCTGAAATATTCCAACATTTGACAATGTATAAACAGTCTTCTTTCTTATATGTACGACTCAGGTTTCTTGTCCCGACGTGTCCTTTTTTAGAAATGTATTTTAATGTACATATATATATTTGTTTCTTACCAGTCAGTAGCTAATATTGAGATAAGAGATCTAGGATTGTCTGTTGACATACTACCCAATCGCGCACCTATGCTGTTTCATAGCAGTGGCGTGGTTTAATTTTGGGCGTACACTATTGTAGTTAAGACAACATATAAAATATTATGATGGACTGCAAAATATTTGATCTTTCTAAATTATCACAACGTTACACTGCCTGACAGACTATCTGTTAATTAAACGCCTGACGGGTCAACATTTACACTAGTAATAATTTTTAATTGTATCATAATTGTTACCGATTATAAGAGTTTATACGATTGTACAGAGTGATATTTTGTTTGGATATTTTAAATTATTTTGACTAAACAATTTTCTTTTGATATTCTTACAATCAAACACGTGCACCAGCTGCCATCTTGTTTTTTACTTTCTTTTAAACTTTTCCTTCTAGAAGCGAGTAACCGTGTTTGTCACAACTTTCCTAACTATAACAACCGTGTGGACGACGAGACACTGATTCGCCAACTAACCAATTGTACAAGTCATTTTATAACATATCGGTGGCTGAACGATGACGGGCAAGATCCTCTCAAGAAAGCTAGGCGCGTTATTACAGTTCCTGCTTACAAAAATAATCTTGTAAAACGTTAAAAAAAAACAACAATACACTCTCATGTTTAATAGTAAATCTGTGCTCGTGAACTGTTTTGATGGTATAAGTGAAAACTACAAACCTCTTACGTCGAAAGTAGTATTAGCCAAAAATGTGACGTTGACTTGTATGCTGATAGCCCGTTAAGTCGTATTCGTTGAAAAAACGCAGTTTTTGCTATATGTTGTGTTGTGTCCGTTAACCAAACCGATATTAAACAATTATATCATCCTGTATGCGCATATTAAATGTTGAACGAACGCGGCCAGTAGGATACGAATGCGATTTCAATGTTAATGTAGTTTAAACGCTGTGATTAATGGAGTAATATTTATCATACATCGTTGTAAGTGTACCTCGTGTTCCCTGCGACCGGTTTCATTTAGTTGGCGTACGCACTCGACACAGCGCACACGTTATGCCCTACTGAAATCGTTCACTCTGTTTATATTTTCAGCATAGCGATCCAGAAGATACCTACCTACCGGCAGAACGACAACTGCAAATAAAAATAAAAAAAATGGCTCAATCATCCAAGCAAGTGATCAATTTCGGCGCCGGGCCGGCAAAAATACCCAGACAGGTAAACGCGACATATTGAAAACAAAAAAATCATGGAATACCTACCTGTAGATTGTATTTATTTTACACGAGCGGTATTTATTAATAACAGTATTGTATGTATTTTTAAAATTTTTCTATTCAATTGCACAGGTTTTGGAACAAGCCAGAGACGAAATTTTGGACTGTGGTTGTGGTATCAGCGTGATGGAACTGAGTCACCGGTCGGCCGACTACGCGGCAATCAACGATCGAGCTATTGAATCAGTCAAAGAACTCCTGTAAGTATACATTTTTCTCTATACCTATAAATGCTAGTAAAATTATTTTGTACTGACATATTTGTAGACGAAAGGTGCCTGTATTATATAATTGTAATAGAATAATTAACTAATTGATTGAACGGTTAAATTAAAAACAAAAAATAAACTGTACAATCAAAAAGTAAATAAGAAAATAGGGTTAATGATATTTTTTTGGTTTTAAAATATATATGTCTGGTGCGGAAGGCAACGAAAAACCACCGCACCATAACCACTTCTCCAAGATGGCAACTCTTGTCTCTAGTAGAGCAAGAGTTGTCCAAACCCACCTAACAGGTCGTAGACTAAAAAAACAAATGTATATAGGCAGTACTTAAGGGTTAAGCGGAGTGATTGTAAACAATAAAACAAATATACATTAAAACTAAACTAAAATGTAAAAAAAAAAATAAAAATTTTAATAGTTGTAAGTATATTGCCATAATATTATTATTCAAATACTTAGCAGTGTATAAATTATAGAAAATTTGCAAGAAAATAATTCTGTTTACTTTTGGTAGTTGGTAGATACACTAAAGTCTAGTCTGTGTTTATTTTAAAATTTGTCTGGACGGTGAATGATGTAACAGGGCGTCGGTTATGGTGTAAGAAAAATTGCACTGTAATAGTCAAGTAATATAAAGAGATGATTAGAACACGGAACTTGTAAAACATATTAAATTGTTTTATTATATTTACTGTCTGGGTTAGTTTATAATTATATGTATCATCTCGGTATCTTTAAGATATTAGAATATATTATATGTCTAGTATGTGACTGTAATATTTGCATATCCTAAACTAAAGATAATCCAATATATATATATATATACTAAGTAGACAGTAGCATAATAGGTATAATGTATACGTGATACAGAAATAATGAAGCTTAATGCATATGAAAACAAGCCATTAGCGATGTAGAGGAATATTTAAGTATAAAAGAGCTAGAGTGAACTTAAAGTGAAGGCAAGGAAGAAGGTAGTCAAAATATGCAGTAAATATTTACATTTATATGTTTTAATATTGAACAACGGTTATAATAATATTGTGACGTTTGAGGTAAGTAGGTATTTAAACTTCAATAAAAGCTGTATTTTTATCTAAATTATGTCAGTAGGTGTACATAATTTTTCCTGTTTGTCGGCTATGAGGTTATTAAGTTTTTACGCTGTATTAGGTTAGGAGAAATATGCTTTTTTTTTTTACTAAATTTGAGATTAATCGTTTCAACTTACAGCGATGTTCCGAATAATTACAAGGTATTATTAATGCAAGGAGGCGGTACTGCTGCTTTTGCATCGGTTGCATTGAATTTGTTGCACAGAGGTGAAAAAGCAGACTATATATTGACAGGTAACGTTGTTGCGTTGGTTTGGTGGTGGTAGTTTTTGTTGGTTGTAACATTGTTTTCTGGTGTTTAATAGGCGTTTGGTCAACAAAAGCCGCCAAAGAAGCATCAAAATACTTAAAAATAAATTATGTGTATCCGAAACCAGAAAAATTCGAACGAATTCCAGATCAGTCGACGTGGAAGTTAGACCCGGATGCAGCGTACGTTTATTATTGTGACAATGAAACAGTAAACGGTTAGTATATTTGATAAAATTGCTAGGATCATTTTGATAAATAAAATGCAATAAAAGGTCGCTATTTCTTATAATATTTCTATAACTAATATTATAATGGCATGGTATATGCATACTGATACACACAGTTTAGATACACATTTGTATATTTTTTTAGCTCGTTAGATTAGATTGTAAATTGATTAAAACCAGACAATCATTATTATAACACAATTTTGCTTTAATTCTAGGTACGGAATTGTCTATTTTATGACCGCGCATCTTTTTAATCAGCTAACAATTAGTTTATGCTTATTATATATATATATATATATATATATATATAATTAAAAAGTTAAGTAGTTCATTTCCAGATATGCATGTTTATGTGTAATTTATTACTAAAACAAATTAGAATATATTTCAATAAATGTTTATTAGGATTTGATTCAGTATTTAATTATGTAATACTACGTATTTTTAAATTTTAATATTATCTTGAATGTAGTAATACATAATGTCTACACTAATATCTGTACGATATGGAGTATTTAATATTAAGTATCAGTATAAATTATGGTATAATGTTGATATATACATATTATAAAAAATAAAAAATTAATGTCACGCTACATTTTTTTATTGGAATCCAATATGTTAAGAGGTTATTCACGATAAATATTAGTATTTAGTTATAATTATTATTAATTTATTCTATTGGTGGTGCCACTATAATAAGTTCACTTCAACGTTATCGTTTGGGTATACTTAAAATTTTCTCATCTTTTCGAGATAAATACGATCTCAGTATTGATAATAACTTTTTTTTAATTGAGTATGGTTATTTTAATGTATTATTATATTTTTTTATCTAACGTTATCATTATTTACTTTGGTTTTTAAATATATTTAGTTATTAGTGGAATTAAAGATAATTAGGTTCTTATTGCTAAACTATGAGTGCAGTATTTTTGCCTGTATTTAATTTAATTTTAAGAGCTTTTTTTTTGCAACAGACACATTTAATTTCTTTAAGCATTGTTCAGAATTTAATCACCAGATATCTATAAGTAACATACATGTTGGCCGTTAAGTCCTAACTCCTAAGACTTATCAGTACTCGGTGGATCTAATTGAGGTTGAACATGTTAGAATTTTTGTGGTAACCGAACATATCATCCTATTCGTGGAATCTTGGAAGTATTGTGTTAAGGGATTAATAATACTTATTTTTAATGTCATCTATAATGATGGTAGTTGTTACTGAATGAAAATTTTGTGGACGAGCTATGGTCCTGAGTACAACTTATGTTCGTAACAGTTCTAGCTATGAATTCGTTCACAGTCCACTTATAAAATCTAGGGAATTTATTTTCAAAACATGTAAAAATACGCTTTACGATTTTGAGTGGAATTTATGTATTTATTAACTGTCATTTTTGTAGGTGTCGAGTTCCCTTTCATTCCTGAAACAAATGGCGTGCCGTTGGTGTGCGACATGTCATCAAACATGTTAACAAGGAACTTTGACGTCAGCAAGGTAAATACTGATTGCTAGAAATGACGGATTAAGTAGACCATCGGCCTATTGTCGATTATAATGGACTGCGCGTACTTAGGACGTCTCCAGCATACAAAGCGATTCGATCAGAATAATAAAATGGCGCTTAAGGAAAAATGATTTAAGGGAAAAAACAATATTAACAGTATAAACATACTTTCCCATACCAGTTTCCGATTTTTTTACGTGAACGACATTTTCGTTGGGCATAGGTTTTAAAGTTTTTTCATTTATAAGTCATTCGACAAGTATCGTGTTGTCTCGTAAACTTATAATAGTATTTGATCATTGGAATTCACGTCTTTATCCTTATCACAATCCTAACATTATTGTTGTTTCTAATTTTAAAATATATTCTAGTCCTTATTTTTTTGCATCTTTCCCTTTTGACAATAACCGTCTATTTACCATTATCATTATCATTCGTTATCATTATATCACGTATTCGCTATCATTATCGTTTATTTATCATTATCTTATAATCTTGGATAACCTACCTAATACCTATAAACTAGCATTCCCAGATAAAAAATTAACGAGCAAAAGAAAAATGTGGATACTATTTCAATAGTGTAGAAACGTATTAAATACATTATGAATTTTCGAATATCGTTACTGTAGAATTTCAAAAATATACTTTCGTACCTGTGTCAATTATGCTACCTATCAAATTGTTCTTGGCTACGATTCGGGGAAGATTTTAATGTTAAATTCCCATTTATTTACCTTATTTTTTCAGTTTGGCGTGGTGTTGGCGTGTGCGCAAAAGAACCTCGGACCCGCCGGAATTACTGTGCTAATAGTGCGTGAAGACCTTATTGGTAATCCCAGTCCCATTTGCCCAACTGTGATGGACTACACGTTGTTCGCTAACGACAATTCTCTGGTCAATACGCCGCCGACGTTTATGTGAGTACAACTGATAGTATTTGACAGTGAATAAGTCCATTATAATATATTGTTATATTAGTACCTTGGGTCTGAAACGATCAATATACCTACATATTTTGGTAGAAACGAGTTAGACCATGTAAAACACCATTTGTCCTATGTGAAAAATAGCACACGCTGGACAAAAATGAAAAAAAATAGTTTTTTTTTTTTTTAAATTGAACATAAAAACTTTAAAGGGCATTTGCCAAAAGGTACAAAAATGTGAGACGGCGAAAAATGTATGCCCATTGATAGTGTAATTATGGAAAAAAGTGCCCTCGTGAAAAACGGAAACTTGAAACAAAATATCTACTATGTATTTCTGACTTCGAATCCGGCTGTTCCATAGCCGAGACGGAGGAGTGAGTGTTGTATACATGTACATAAAACGCATATCTATGACATCTTACAGCGTTTACGTGTTCTCGCTGGTGTTGCAATGGGTCAAGAAACAAGGAGGCGTAGCCGGCATGGAACAGCAGTCCAAGGCAAAAAGCCAACTGTTGTACAACACCATTGCGGACTCGGACGGCTTCTATTCTTGCCCTGTTGACGATGGGTTCAGAAGCCGCATAACGGTGCCGTTCCGATTGTCCGCCGGACCCGAAGCCGACAAGCAGTTCCTAAAGGAATCCCAGGACTTGGGATTCCTGCAACTCAAAGGACACAGGTAAATCCGGAAGCGCGGTGGCTTTTGGTTAACTTTGTGGTGTTGACTAAATTGACTTAAATCTTTTGTAGGCTGGTAGGCGGCATTCGAGCGGCCATGTACAACGCGATTACGGTGGAAGAAGTGAAGGTGCTGGCCGACTTCATGACCAGCTTCCAGGAACGAAACCCGCAGTTCCGGTTAACGCAAAAATAAATTATACGTTTAAATTGATCAAAACAAAAAAAAAACACTGAACATAAAAAAGAAAACATTCCAATAAATTGAACACGCGTTGTTTGTTCTGTTTGAATGACATTTTTCTACCAATTTTCCTCCGAGTTAGGTATTTTTTTTTTTTTTTTTGTGAAAAATATATAATAGGAAATTAATATCTCACGTCATGCGACCGATTGTGTATTGCAGGAAAAGTTTCGTAGGTACTCGATATATTTTGCAGGAAAAAAACTAGAGTAATAATATATACTTTTTCTGTGGGCGCGTGTGTGTGTTGAGAATAATGCAAATACAAATTGTTTTTTTTTTTTTTTTTATTGACTGACGGCGAACAAATACAACGGTTTTGCTGAACGGAGATGATGAAAATATGCGCGGGTGGGGCGGAGGAGCTCGTGCAAGAGCTTTTAGCGAAATAAGATATTTTATTATTTCCGTGTAGGTCAAGGGAATAAATCAGCGCCATGGACGGGTGGTAGCGCTTAGATAACAGAATAAATTAGTGTTGACTGTTATTGAAAACACGGGTATCCACAGGACAGTGCGGGTAAATAATAACTTTAAAGACATTTAATGTCATATGAATATTCCATACAAACGCATCGATTTTTTCTTATGAGAACTCTACTGAATATATATTTTAAACTAAAAGGTCAAAATGCAGTTTGAACATAACCGCGGAGAAGACTAAAATTCGTCTGTTTACTCAAACTAAAGTTAAATTTAGCTGAAGAAAAACGAACAAGTGAATAGAGACTACCATAAGATATGATTGAAACTTGTATAAAATAATTAAAAATATCAACTGTTACGTTTTGTCTTGAAATATATCGTATGCTCGGACATAAATTTGGATTTTTTAACGATTACACTAATTGATATACAGTGTGGAAAAGTATTGGTAGTAGATCCCTATTGGTCTCTCTTTAGCAATTATCCATTTTACATGGAATCATTGTATTTAAGAAAACTAGGTTGGTTTCATGATTGGAATATACATGTTTATTGCACATGCATCCCTTCTTCATCAAATATTCGATGATAAAAACGAATATGTCAGCATAACGTGCAGCCAATCAAAATCAAGTATATACACATGAGTCACAGTAATATAAATATAACAATAGTAAAGTATATAGTAAAATTGATAATCCCGTTTAGCTGTCATTTTATTTCTGAAGTTAAAAATTCGAGACGATGTGCAATAACCTATATATTTCAACCATGTTTGGTCAATAGACATTAATACCGAACGACTGAATTACATCTTAATGGCTACCATTATTTGGACAACAAATTAAAAACGATAAAGATTAATTTAGTTTTGCGAAAGGAAAAGTTTCGGTTTCGGCATTTTATATTACTTGTGGTAGCAAATGTGTTTGTAGTATGATTTCTGTGAATTGGTATTTATTTGGCAGTTGCCACATATTTTTATATCATATGATGTTTTTCTTCATTCCTTCACGCTCAAATACCGCAGGAGATTGGACATTACTGCCGGTTATTTGTTTTTTTTATTACCGCAATAAACTAAACATTTGCAGAAAAAGAAATACAGATAAAGTATTATAGTAGATATATACATAATATATAAAGTGTACACCGTAATAGATATTGACATAAGCCTGCGAATGATGGCGATTCAAAAAATGATGAGCACGTACAAAATATACTTATATTTACTTAGGCTGTAGCCTTAACAGACGAGTAGACTTAACGACAAAAATGGTTTTCGCTTGCATCTTTTAGATTAGTTTTTACCACTATATTTTTATGTGACGCGAACCTAGTGTATTTAAGTGTATAGATATCGATTCAAAATATATGTCTGTTATATTTATGATTTATGAATTATATATGAAGGGCACAGGGGAAAAACGGTAGTAGTCACATTATGAACATTTTTTTTTCCAAATAGTTTTTTTCAATTTATGCCATTAATTTGTTTTATTTATGTCAATAGATTGTTTAAATAAATACATTTATTATTAGAATAGCATTTAATGTGATTTTTTTTTTGTTCTTATGTAAGAGGGAGAGGAATTCACGAACTTTGTTTTTGCTGTACTCTAAAATTTTCATAATGTGACAACTACCGTTTTTACCCCGTGCCCTTCATGTGTATAAATAATTAGTTGATACTTAATCTTACAGATGTCAGTATTAATTTATATTAATTGATTTGCAGTTTCAAATTCACAAATGCATTTTTTGAAAAATACATAAGATGCTACTAACTATTGATTTTATAGTTTTTGATTACTTATACAATTAAATGTTTCTAGGTTCTGTGGAAAAAAAAAATAACAACCAAATCGTTTTTAAATTAACTTATTTCTTTTATTACTTATTAGTGTTAATGATACTCAATACTGATACTGATATTATGGTACTGAAACTAATAACTGATAGAAATCATTTCAAAACACGGTTGTAGGTATGGTAATAATTATTGGTATGTATTAACAACAGTGTTAAAAATGTCGACAAATACAGTGATAGCACAACTACTTTTAAGACCTCGGTAAAAAAAAATTAATTTTTTAATAAAACAATTTTTATTTTGTGAAATTTTGTATTACATGATGATTATGATAATAAATTGTCCTAGAAAAAAGACAAGGATGGGGCAACTGCCCCTACAACGCACTTACCAGTAAAAACCAGCACAGTAAGAAAGTATTAAAATGAGGTGCAGTGTCCACAAATTCGCATCTTCTTCTTCATATTCGCCTTACACTCCCAACTACAACCTAACCTTACCATAGAACTCGGATTGTCCACAGATTCGCATCGAAACGTTAATTTGAAAATGATTTTATCACTTTCAGTTATAGTAATTCTTGAAGATCTATGACCTCTCCGTCTCCGCTCTGCTCTGTGCGGAGATGAAGTTATTTACCTAAATAGGTAGATGTATTATGCAAGATTAAAGGTAACAAACCAACTCTGTGTAATAAATAAATAACTGTAATACTTAATTTGAATTAACTTTTTTTAAATTTTTATTATTTTAACACCATAATATATCGCAACTATAAAATACTCATTTATGAGTGTTACAAAGTATAATATGTAAAAAATAATAATTGATTCATTTAGGTTAGTTATTTTACATGATTATTTAAAAAAACAATTTCATTCTTTAAGATTGGTTAGGTTAGGATCCAAGGCATATTGTTAGAATAAAAGTTTTTTTCAGAAGCGTACCAAATAATAAAAGCTTGGAAAAATATTAACCAAAAATTAAAAAAAAAAATCTTAAATAAATCTTTAATAAAAAATTAAAGATAAACAATCGGAAATTGGGTATGGCGTTCTTGCTAGTTTTGGTTTATTCTCTTGTACTCGGGAGCTGTAATCCTGTGTTAGGAAAAAATGTCACGTTTAATTTGTCTTTTCCGTTATAAAACATAAGAATAAAGCAATAATGAATTGGCCTTAATTTGGAATTGATAACGTTAGTGTATTTAAAGAATGCATCTGTCCGTTCGACGATTTTATTACTTTTCAAAGTTACTTTTTTTTCAATATCGGTTCTTTCGGCCATATTTAGCAGTTCCTTGTCTTTCCGATCAGAGTTTGAAGGATCGATCGATGTATCTTCGTTGATTTCTGACTGTGTGTCTTTTGGCGTGTCAAGATTACCACATAGATCTGGAATAACTTGATCGTTACGATCACGTACATGGTCTTCATTTGCACCCATCTGTATCGAATCTTGATCAGCGTTTTCATCGGACTCTGGCTTATTGATCGATACATCTTCCTTCATATCTGACTGTGTGTCTTTCTGCTGGTCAAGATTACCCCATTCATCTGTAACATCTCGATCGTTAGGATCACGTTCATAGTCTTTATTTGCACCCATCTGTATCGAATCTTGACAAACGTTTTCATCGGACTCTGGCTTATTATCGACGGCCAAAGTGGTGGCAACGACATTATCGTCTGAAATATTTTCTTTCACAGTTTCATTCGTTAATCGACGGATTCCCAGTAATTTTAAAAAGAAATCGATGATGTATTTAAATAACCTACATATAACGATATTATGGTTTTCAATAGTCGTTGTTTTTTTAGATTTCGTTGTATCGGACAAAGTTAGCCGTTCCTTGTCTTCCCGCTTAGAATTTGAAGGAACGATTGATAAATCTTCCTGGACTTCTGACTGATTGTCTTTTGGCGTATCAAGATTATCGCATACATCAGCTGTAACAACCTCTTCGATTTCAGAACATAGTGGTTCCTTGTCTTTTTGTCCAGAACTCGAAGTAATGGTCGATAAATTTTCCTGGGTTTCTGACTGTGTGTCATTCGGCTTGTCAAGATTATCGCATACATTTGTAATAACTGCATCGTTTTCAAAACTTAGCGGTTCCTTGTCTTTTCGCCCAGAACTCGAAGTAATGGTCGGTAAATCAGTGTCGTTCAACGTGTCATGATCATCGTATAGTATGCTACGTACATGGTCTTCATTTGCTCCCATCTGTATCAAGTCTTGAAAAACATTTTCTTTGGACTGTGGCTCATCATACTCGTGCAATGTGGCGTCAACGTCGTTATCGTCTACACCTATTTTCTTCATATCGATTGAAATAATTTCTTTAGCAATTTTTGTCATGTATCGAAGCTTTTCCAGAAACTCTCCGTTAAATGCATCGACTTCAGAACACAGCTGATCGATAATACTGAATAACACTGGGTCTTCATAGTCGAAAAACAAGAACTCTCTTAAGGGTTTGCACGGTAGTATCCAAATAGATGTGTCCGCAACTTTAAAATTTATCTCTTCAACGTGGTTTTTAGCTTGACTTAAAGGGTTTTCAAACATTTTGATATGCGACCGAATGTAAATGTAAATATTTATTTTTATAATTAGCAACACCCGCATGTGATACTCGGTGTACTTGAATGGCTCTTTAACAAAATCAAATGTATGGTACCAGGCTCTAAGTTTGTCTTTTTCGTTTCGTAACAGCCTTTTGCATGATCCCCAGAATATGTTGCTATTAACAAACGTACCAAACAAGTCGGTATCGCGGTTGAGGTAATCGGACAAAGCAAAAGTTTCAATCGAAAAAAGTTTATTGAAAGAGAAGAATTTGTTTAGTTTTTCATTAAATTGAAAACCGTACAGTTGATCTATATACATGCGTATATCCATCTTTACAATGCTATTGTAATAAGCTTGCAGACTCGTTGGTCTGTCGTCGTTGATCGACAAGTAATGGTTATGCTGACAATGGACAATGTAATCCACTAATTGTGTCATGTATTCAGGGTCAAAGGTATTATTGTCCGGCGCGTAGTTGTTGGGCCAGTTAAACTTGGAATAAACTTGAAAAAATATGTTCCATAGACAATTGTGCGCTCTGGTTTTGCTGATTAACAACAAAGATAACATCTTTTGGATGATAAAATTTGTGTAAACGTACAAATTGTTATCATTTATTGGACTCGAATTGATTTTTTTGTGATTTTTTATCATGATGTTCAACATGTAATGCATCATCACGGCGTTGACACATTGTAATGCTTCCATTTTTATTCTATATTTTTGTATTGATATCGATTTTGACTGGATACAATCCAAGTCACCTTTACATCTTGTTAGTAAAAAACTTTTATCTATGTCATTTAAAACAACGGGTCCTTTGCCATCTGGAGTTTCTACGGTTTCTACAGTTCTTATTTCATTAATAACATCAAGGAAGTATTTGCCGAACATGATTTCGCTGGATACCCAATCCGTCTTAGTCTATAATATGAAAAATATGCACTTAAATTTAGCTACAATCATTTGCTATTCAAATTTACAATTTTTTACATTAGAAAGCAATCTCGAGACTCAATCGTATGGTTAGTATGGTCAGTGTTTTACTTTAGTTTATTCCTATATTACCAAAAATATATGTTTTAAACATATACTTTATACTTTACTGCTGTCTGTAAAGTAGGTACATACATTTTTATTAACAAAGATATCGACTAGCTGTCTCTATTTGTTTAGTATAATATAAAGTAAATAAGAAAAAAAACCGAATTAATGGAACTTAATGACAATGAAGGGCTATTAGAATAAAAATAAAAAAAATAAAAAATTACTTAGGTGCCACGTTGAGCACGAGATATAATTGGTGTCGCAAAATAGATGATGTTTTTTAAATAAAAAAACAAGTATAATGAAAATAAAGGTAAAAGACAATTGTATACTTATTAGTTTTCGCGTTTTTTAATGAAATTAAGAAAAATTAATATTTTGCTTGTAACTTTAAAAGTAAGTATGATAGTTAATTTCTGGTCACACCATTTGTTTAAGCAAGCACAATGGCGAGGCTACATAATGAGGAGTGAAGAAAACAATGTCGTGAAAAGTAGTATTTAAATGCAAACTACAAGGAAAGACACTCCTCGGAAGACATAGGAAAAAAATTATTTAGCCTAAGGTAAACTTTTGAATCCCTAACTGAGTTAGTATATTGAAAAAATATCCGTAATTATATATTACCTTCAATGGATCCAACTCATTTGTTTTCCCCAGCGTGAATGTCATAAAACAGACATTTGTGAAGAGCAAGACTGAAATCATAATTAATGAAGTCATTCTACATTAAATTACTTGTAAATTGATTTTAGTACAAAATACTTTTAGAAAATTTGATTCTTATAGTTGAATTCTACCTGTAAAGTTCTGACGCACACAAAAGTCTATGTGTGTGCACTGTTGTTAAAATATCTAGTATAGTTTACAATATTTATTGATTTGTATAGTAAATATATAAAACTGTAGCCAACACTAAAACAATATAAAATATACCAATGCAAATGTTAAAAAGGATAATAATTTTATTCAAACCAATTCTACTATGAATAATGTCGCTTGAATTTTATCATTTTTCAGTTATACCTTTAAAGTACTGAAGCACGCTAAAGATCAAGTGCGTTCGCAGTTGTAATAATATTTATCGATTTATAATAAATACATACAACTAGGGTTAAAACTACAACAATATAAAATATTCTTATGAAAATGTAATTTTTCATTAAAATTGTGTTTGTAAAAAGATCTTTACTTATGTGATTTTTTTCAAGACAAACAAATGCCTAAATATTAGTTTAACCGGTTTGGTAACCGTTTTGATTTTCTGCTGATACTAACGGAGCTAACACTATACAATTTTTACGTTTTATAATATAATATTATAATATTAAATAATTGTTAAACTAACTTTTAGTTAAAAACTACCAGTTTAACCATTATTTAATTTTTACAACTAGCGATAAGAAAATGAATTCCTATAAAGTAAATATCTTTCTAAACAACTTCCCATCCCAATTATGCCTTATATTCTCTTCCCTCTGTACAGTTTTTTTTTTAAAATGAAATGTATTGTTTTGTTAAGTTTATTGGATATATTTGGATTATTAATGGTGTAAAAAATTGGTGGAATATCTTTTAACCTCGGCGCAAACTTTAAGGGACTATTTAAAGTTTAAAAACGTTAGTGATAACTGGCCCGAGTATTAAATGGTAGTTATGTCGAGGAAGTTACACGTCTTATAAATTGCACGGGGTTATTAATTATCACACAACTATAGGTGGGTAAATTGTAAACCTACATTTAATCAGTATTTGGTAGGTAGTAGGTACTGTAATTTATTTGGTCTCGTGTATATGGCTAAATACTGAATTGTACATTTATAAATATTTCAATAACGTCAAACAAAAAAAAAAGTACTCATGTTTTTTTTTATACAGTTCTTGAAAACCCCGCATGAACGAATTGCTCAAGTATAGGTATATTATTTCCTTATTAAAAAGTGCGTTATTTCAATGTCAACTAATTATAATATGATGATTAAATTAAGTGTACACTCGCAATAAAGCGGTGCTTAACACGTTAGTGTCATAGAATCAATAACAATTATTTTTAATTAATATATAAATTATCTTCTAATATATTTTTACATAATATACCATACACGCTATGTACCATTTGGTGTATTTATTGTGTTATGATGTCATACAGCTGCTCATTTCAGGTACTGAAAATAGCGTTTCATACCGTCCGCCCTATTGCCTGCTATCGCCTTGCAACATATAAGCACCACACAACCTTAGGCGCTCTTGTAATTTTTTAGTGACATGTGACAACATATCAAATGTATTGCGCTAAACACCACTACCGTGATCCAAGACATATTGTTAAGATAAAGAATTTTTTATTCAGAAACGTTACAAACAATAAAAGCTTTGAATAATTTAAAAAAAAACTGTTACGTTACAATATGTGTACACTTGAAAGTACATAAAACATAGTTTTTATTTACAATTTAAACATGTATTACAAAAACAAAATTAATTTAGTTACAATTATATTTTTGATACAACTATACAATTATTGCTTGACAGGTTATAGTTAAATTATTATTGTCTACCGCTGGCATTTACTTTTTTTATTATCCCAAAACCAAATTAGTTTTTTACAAAAATTAAAAATAATTGTAAAACTATCTTACATATTTTACTTAGAATAACAACTAAAATTGTTTTGAAAGAAACTATGTGAACGAACATATATATACTTTTAAATGTTTCCATTTAAAAATATCTGTAATATATTAAAAATAAAGCTTACATTTAATTAATAGCAAGAATGGTAATAAAAAATAATTTGAATGGACAAAAAATAAAATACTTTTCCTTGTAGGGAAAGATGGACTAACGAATTTCGGGTTAAAGGAAAAATTGAAAATACCATGCCGAAGTTTAACACCATTCAACGTTTATTAACTAAGCTACAGGGAAAACATATAAAAGTAAAATAATCGGAAATTGGGTGGGGGTTTTTGCTAGTTTTGGTTTATTCCATTGTACTCGGGAGCTGCAATCCTGTGTTAGGAAAAAACGTCACGTATAATTCTTCTTTTCCAATATAAAACATAATAATAAAGGAAACATCAATTGGCCTCAATTTGAAAGAGAGATCGAAAGTGTATTTTAAGAATTTGTTTGTCCGTTCAACGATTTTATTGCTTTTCAAAGTCTCTTTTTTTTCAATTTCCGTTCTTTCGGTCAAATCTAGCAGTTCCTTGTCTTTTCGCTCAGAGTTTGAAGGAACGATCGATGTATCTTCTTTGATTTCTGACTGTGTGTCTTTTGGCGTGTCAAGATTACCAGTTACATCTGTAATAACTTGATCGTTATGATCACGTACATGGTCTTCATTTGCACCCATCTGTATCGAATCTTGACCAGCGTTTTCATCGGACTCTGGCTTATTGAACGATACATCTTCCTTCATATCTGACTGTGTGTCTTTCGGCTGGTCAAGATTACCAGTTACATCTGCAATAACTTGATCGTTACGATCACGTTCATAGTCTTTATTTGCACCCATCTGAATCGAATCTTGACAAACGTTTTCATCGGACTCTGGCTTATTATCGACGTCAAAAGTGGTGTCAACGACGTTATCGTCTGCACATATTTCCTTCAAATCGTCTGAATTTTTTTCGTCCACAGTTTTTTTCGTTAATCGAAGGTTTCCCATTAATTTAAAAAAGAGTTCAATGATATATCTATATAATCTGTATGCCCGTTGAACGATATTATGGTTTTCAATAGTCGCTGTACTTTTAGATTCCGGTATATCGGTCAAAGATAGCCGTTCCTTGTCTTCCCGTTCAGAGTTTGAAGGAACGGTCGATAAATCTTCCTGGATTTCTGACTGATTGTCTTTTGGCGTATCAAGATTATCGCATACATCAGCTGTAACAACCTCTTCGATTTCAGAACATAGTGATTCCTTGTCTTTTTGCCCAGAACTCGAAGTAATGGTCGATAAATTTTCCTGGGTTTCTGACTGTGTGTCATTCGGCTTGTCAAGATTATCGCATACATTTGTAATAACTGCATCGTTTTCAAAACTTAGTGGTTCCTTGTCTTTTCGCCCAGAACTCGAAGTAATGGTCGGTAAATCAGTGTCGTTTAACGTGTCATGATCATCGTATAGTATGCTACGTACATGGTCTTCATTTGCTCCCATCTGTATCAAATCTTGAAAAAATTTTCTTTGGACTCTGGCTCATCATACTCGTGCAATGTGGCGTCAACGTCGTTATCGTCTACACCTATTTTCTTCATATCGATTGAAATAATTTCTTTAGCAATTTTTGTCATGTATCGAAGCTTTTCCAGAAACTCTCCGTTAAATGCATTGACTTCAGAACACAGCTGATGGGTAATATTGAATAACAGTGGGTCGCAATGATCGTTAAATAAGATCTTTCTTAGGGCTCCGCAGGGTAGCATCCAAATAGATGTGTCTGCAACTTTAAAATTTATCTCTTCAACGTGGTTTTTAGCTTGACTCAAAGTGTTTTCAAAAAATGTAATATGCGACCAAATGTACATATAAGTATTTATTCTTATAACGAGCAACACCCGCATGTGATACTCGGTGTGCTTAAATGGCTCTTCAGCGAACTCAAATGTATGGTACCAGTCTTTAAGTTTGTCTTTTTCGTTTTGTAACAGCTTTTTGGCCGATCCCCAGAGTATGTTGTTATTAAGAAACGTACCAAACAAGTCAGTATCGCGGTTGAGGTAATCGAATAAAACTAAATTATCAAACGAAAATAGTTTATTCAAATCAAAAAATAATTTTAGGTTTTTGTTATACTGATAACCGTATAGTTGGTCTATATACTTGTCTATGTCCATCTCGACAATGCTATTGTAAAAGGCCGTCGTACCGAATAGCGTGACGTCGTTTCTCGGTAAGTAATTGTAAGATTGACACTGGCCAATGTAAGGCACTAATTGTTTCACGTATTTAATGTCCAAGAAATTATCACCCGGCGTGTACATATGGGGCCAGTTAAACTTGGAATAAATCTGAATAAATATGTGCCAAAGCCAATGATGCACTCTGGTTTTGCTGATAAATAACACGGCTAACATCCGCCGGATGACGACATTTGTGTAAACGTACATATTGTTTCTATCGATATTACTAGAATTGATTTTGTCATGATTTAATATGACGATGTTCAACATGTAATGCATTATCACGGCGTTGACACACTGTAATGCTTCCATTTTTATTCTATATTTTTGTATTGATAACGATTTTGACTGGATGCATACCCAGTCACCTTCACATAGTTCTTGTAAAAATCTTTTATCTATGTCATTTAAAACAACGGGTCCTGTGCCATCTACAGTATTTACCACTTCTAGCGTTTTGATTTCATTAATAACTTTAAGGAATTCAAAGTCGAAAATGATATCACTGGATACCCAATCCGTATTAGTCTATAATATAAAAAAGATGTACTCAGGTTAGGAATTTTGTTACAGACATTTGCTATTTAAATTTACAATTTGTACACTAGAAAGTTATCTCGAGTTTGAGTTTTATAGTTAGTGTAGGTAATTTTTTTTCCACCGTGTATCAAATCGCGTATTGAACTCAAATGATCCTCCTCCCTTAACAATATTTCTCTTTTTTTCTTATTTACCTTATACTATACTAAACAAGTATAACAAAAAAAAGGTAAACAAATTTTTATAATTATTAATTTTCACGTTTTTAAATACAATTAGGAAAATTAATATTTCGCTTATAACTTTAAAAGTAAGTATGATAGTTAATTTCTGGTCACACCATTCTTTTAAGCGTAAAAATATATATTTTGAAAAATAAAATGTTTTTGAAAGTTCATATTTATAAAGTTATTGTACTTTTAATAATATTAAGTAAATTAAGTTTTATTACAAAATGAAGTTTGATCGCCAAAATCGGACTTCACCATTGTTTTCAGCGTAAAAAAATACCAAAATTCCCAAACAAATTTTTGAAAAAAGTGACTGAGAACTAAACTTTATGTATACCAAATAAATTTGTATTTTATTAAAATGCCAAAGTAATTGTTAGTTGTACTGTAGATGAAATTTGTTAAAAACAAAAATAAATTTGCTTACACAATTTTTTTTTAAAAAGGTAGAGATTACAATGCCGGGTCTACACAATGAGAAGTGAATAAAACTAGGTCGTTCAATATTAGAATGCAAACTACAAGAAAAGAAACTCCTCGGAAGACACGGGAAAAAAAAACATTATTTAGCCTAAGGTAATCTTTTCAATCTCTAACTGAATTAGTATATTGAAAAAAATGTCCGTATTTATATATTACCTTTAATGGGTCCAATTCATTTGTTTTTGCCAGCGTGAATGTCATAAAACAGACATTTGTGAAAAGCAAGACTGAAGTCAAAATTAATGAAGTCATTCTACATTAAATTACTTGTAAATTGATTTTAGTACAAAATACTTTTAGAAAATTTGATTCTTATAGTTGAATTCTACCTGTAAAGTTCTGACGCACACAAAAGTCTATGTGTGTGCACTGTTGTTAAAATATCTAGTATAGTGTATAATATTTATTGATTTATATAGTAAATATATAAAACTGTAGCCAAAACTAAAACAATTATAGAATATACCAATGCAAATGTTAAAAAGGATAATAATTTTATTCAAACCAATTCTACTATGACTAATGTCGCTTGAATTTTATCATTTTTCAGTTATACCTTTAAAGTACTGAAGCACGCTAAAGATCAAGTGCGTTCGCAGTTGTAATAATATTTATCGATTTATAATAAATACATACAACTAGGGTTAAAACTACAACAATATAAAATATTCTTATGAAAATGTAATTTAGAATGCAAACTACAAGAAAAGACACTCCTCGGAAGACACGGGGAAAAAACATTATTTAGCCTAAGGTAAACTTTTTAATCTCTAACTGAATTAGTATATTGAAAAAAATGTCCGTATTTATATATTACCTTTAATGGATCCAATTCATTTGTTTTTGCCAGCGTGAATGTCACAAAACAGACATTTGTGAAAAGCAAGAATATGGTTATAGTTAATGAAGTCATTCTTTGTATAATTATCTAAACGCCGGGTTCTTAGTACAAAAATATTTAGATTTTCAATAGAAAATTTTATTCTTAAACCGGTCCCACACGACTCGCGCATTTGTCGAAAAATTGTCATCAAAAGTATGACGATTTTTTTTTTACTCGGCGAGTCACTCGTCGTATGACACGTGTCAATGTGATAACGAATATTCGTATAAACAATTGTTGTGTCTCCCAGACGACTCAGAGTTCATATAAATATAACGGCAAATAATTCGGCGAGCATCCGCGATGACGGTGATCGTCAAGTACACGTCAATGTAGTGTGTGACCGGCTTTATAGTTTAATTTTGTTTTGACGCACACAAAAGTCTATGTGTGTTCACTGTTGTTATATTATCTAGTATAGTTTAGATATATTTATTGATTTATATAGTAAACATACAAAACTGTAGCCAACACTACTACAACTAGCCAACTACAACAATATAGAATATTCCCATGATTTTTTTTTTTAATAAATTTGCGATATTGATGTAATTTTATGCCCGACCGTACAAGTATACTAGTACCCTGGTACCTTTTGGTTCTTTCTAAAATCGAATGTTCTATCTCTAATCTCTTACCTCACCTCCAGCATCCAGTTTGGACATCTCTGAACTGTAATATCTTATCTCTAATCGTATATAATATGTATACTCGGTAACGTACAGCGTGATGCACGCACGCACGCAAGCACAGATTTTCCGATTCCCAGCCCAATAGCATATCCATGTTAAAAAATGATTTAGCCTAAGGTAATCTGTTGAGTCTCTAACTGGGTTAGTTTATTGAAAAAAATGTCCGCAATTAAATATTACCTTTAATGGATCCAACTCCTCATTGGTTTTACCCAGCGTGCATGTCATAAAACAGACATTTGTGAAGAGCAAGACTGAAGTCAAAATTAATGAAGTCATTCTTTATATAATTACCTAAAAAGGTTCTTAGTACAAAATACTAATAAATTTTCAATAGATACTCAAAATGTAATACACATCGACTAAGATATTATGTTTCGTAGTTTAATTCTACCTGTAAAGTACTCAAGAGCACATAAGAGGCTATACGAGTGAACTGTTGTAGTAGTTCTTTATGGACAGTTGTAATAATATACAGTATAGTTTATTTATTTATTTATTTTTATGCTTTATCGTTAAATGCGATTTATAGGATACAGTCATAATAATGAGATAACATATAATAAAATATACTAGGTATGAGTAACAGTGGATAAATATTAATAAGCTAAAGGCCGTGTGAGTTCACTGTTTTAATAATATATTTATCGTAGTTTATATTATTTATTAATTTATAGTAAATATTTTATAAATTTGTAACCAAAACTACAACAATATAAAATATAATCACATATGAAAATGTCAAAAAGGATAATAATTTTATTCCCACCAATACTACTATGGTAAACATCGCTTGACTTTTATATATTTTTTTAATTTTACCTTCAAAGTACTGACTCACACAATAGATCGCGTGCGTTCACAGTTGTATTAATAATATATTGATTTATAGCAAATAAATAAAACTATGTGAATTTCCTTTCAAGCTAAATAAATGCCTAAAAATTGGTTACTTGGTTTGGGAACCGTTTGGATTTTTTGCTGAAACAAACGGCGTTTAACCTATAATCACTATAAATTATTTACGTTTTATTTTAATAATTTTTTAATTAGCCTTTAGTTAAAGAAAACTATCACTTTCACAATAATTGTAATTAATAATTATATAACAATAAGAAAATCGAATACCATAAAGAATATATACGTCTAAACACCACCACTATAATGGTCTAAATAATTGGGATTGAGTTGTAATGGCTTCCTCCATCTAAAAAATACTCTCACCAAAAAATGTCAGCAATTTTAATTAAGATTTTTTGGTAATTGGCTTTAGATGCTAAATTGTTTAGGCTAATAACTACTTTGAATCAAACCGTTATGACATAAAAAAACTCATGTAGGAATTATTAAATTTTTTTTAAAATTTAATGTTGTGTTTTGTTTTGAGATAGCATAATATAGACTATAGTCATGTACCTGAGCTTTGAGCGCTTAACAAAAAGTGTTATTTACGGCTATATTGCGTGTTGTATATACACTACTCATTTTCAAACGCCAACGGATGTTATTCCACATAGTCTCGTCACGTGGTTATTGTTACTAATCTATCAAATGTTTAATTTTCATACCCATTCACGAATCGAGTTTATATTATTAGCAAAATTAGAACTGACAGAGCGCGAATGCTTGAAGCCAAGACGTTTTCTTATAGGCGTGCACGTTAAAATTGACATAGTAAAAATGTATTTTTATTTTATTTAAATGCCAAAGGGTAATTATTATACAGATGAAATTTATTAAAAACAAAAACTAATTTGCTTACATCATTTTTTTTTAAATTTCATATTAAAAAACATTTAACTGATTCTGTAAAATTACATGTAATATGTAAACCGTCAATTACATATGAATTATTTATAGTAAATTAACCTATAACATATTATTTTGGTAAAAAATAATTCTTTTTTAGTTGACATAAGTAGTAAAATAAAAAAACTGTTCATTGTATACTAACGCTCTATGTTCATTGGTTTTTAAGAATAATTAGTCAAAAATCGATGAAACTTTTTTAAAAATAAAAAATTCTAGAAATGACAAAAGGTTTTATTCATTGTTAATACTGTGTAATATTATGATCGGAAAAATATTTTGTTGGTAAAATGTTACTTGTACCATCTTTATTTCCATCACTTCAAAGAAGGGATTCCGGAACTAGTTGCGGGTAAAATTTACATTTTTTGCCTAGACCAAAAAATAATTATTTCTATCATTAAAAATATGTTTGTCTAAATGCGACTAAACCTTATATTGACCTTAAAAGTAATTATAAATAGACAAGTTGTTCTAATCGGGGTTTTCCCTTCAAACAAGTTCCCCCCGAAAAAAAAAACCGAAGTTCTTAGAATGTATTTCTAAATTCTTGTTATACGATTACTATGAATTGTTGTATAAACGTTGAAACTCGTCGAGGTCAAATATGCAAATGTCATACCGGCGGCGTTATTAGGTAGTTCGTGTGATTTTGATTCTGTCGGCCCACGCTCGCCCACGGGGCGGATAGGTGGCGGCGAGCGGGCGGGCGGGTGGGCCGCAAAATCGCCGCTTTGCCGTCGAGCGTTGCGCGTGTCTCCCCGAAGCGCATCCACTCGTCGGCCGAAACGGAACTGCGCCGCGGTTCTGACGGGACGCAGGGGTGCTTTTGCCGGCAGTTTTCGGACGAACATCATTGGCGTTCCTCATCTTCCGCTCGAGCTTACCGTCCGAACGCCGTTTACGTCCGTCCCGCGGCTTGTATCGGCTTCCCGTTCGGTTGACCGCGTCACGAGCGAACGGCAGATCGGCTGCTGTTGCTGCGGCGGGACACGCGTTGGCAACACGTCAAAGCGACAGGCGGTACGACGGCAGCGTCAACGACGACGACCACGACGAGCCGACGACATGAGATGCTGGTCAGACGGATCCGATGGATGTGCCTGCTGTGTGCTTGTGCGCTCGCCGATCAAAACATGCCAAGCAACGAGACACAAACAGGTAGCCTATCTACTCGCTCCGGCCTCCCTTACACCGGTGTCCATCTGCGTTGCTCTTTGGCGGCGTATTTACAAGGGGGTGATGTGTAAACAAAAGTGTTGCCCCCCCTAAATCCATTGTACAAGTCTTGCCCCTATGGACGGACCAAAAAGGGTGTAAATAGTACACCATGATTTCTGATTTTTTAGAAACAATTTTGCCAAATTATATATTTTTTGTTTTTAAGTTTTAATGAGACAAAATGCATTTTATGCCCACTTTTTAGATTTGCTTTTCATCAAAATATGTTTGTTAGTTGAAAAAAACATGATTAGAATATTAATTGCCGTATAAAATATTAAAATGTTATTTTTTTTATGACATTTCGTCTAAAACTTCTATGTTTACAGTAATATTTCTTTGTTTACAATATTTATATGAAAAATTCAAAATGTTAGATACATTTTGAATAGGTATTTTTTTATACCAAAAATAAAAGTAGTTGATGTCACCCTGACCACCTCCTTTAAAGGCGCCACTATTACTCTTATTTGAACTTAACGGTATTCCATTGCAGTATACTTATAATATCAATAGCGGGCTCATATAAACTCCGGCAGAAAAAACAAACGAGTAAAATTGAATATATATAAACTCCGCCGACACTTTAAGACCATATTGGTTTTAATAATATTTTATAAAGTATATGTCAAATATGCAAACATGTGTAAATAGCTAAAATGTATGCGTAACAAAAAAAAAAAAAAACATATAATATTAGTATGTATCGCGTTGAGAAACAAATAAATTAAAAAAAATGTTTAGAACTAGTAAGAATAACATCACTAGCACATTACCGGATGAGCACCGCCGTTTTTCTTTCAAATTCGGTTCGTTGTGTTTGCAAAGTCGTTATGAGTTACACCTCAACTTGGAACTTATAAGGCGCATAGCTGGTTTTACAACGGGAGGATGCCGCGGCTAAGAGCGGTTGGTTTTTGTGTTGTACTTAAAGCCGGTTAGGCGGATTTATGGCAAAGGTTTACGACGGCTGTTAATGCGACGGACGACACGGCGAAGAGGTGTAATAAAAAAAAGCAATGCGGCTTTTAGGCGGTAGTTGAACATAAAAAAAAAAAAAAAAACAGACTTTTATTTTAATGTTTCCACGTTAATTTTGGCCGGATGCGTTCTGACATCAGCTACATGTACTGAAAAAATAAATTCAATACGATATATTTTGATTTCATGCCTACATAATACACGTATGTATATTATGGTACATTACTCTTGCGCGGGTCTGGCTGGATTTTGACACCCTCGAAGAAGTGACACGACCCGTCAGTCGTGCCGTTAATTGTGTACAAGGGATGTTGTGCTGCTGTATCTATTACTTGTAACACGAGTATCGAGAAAATGACGTGCTCGTTGACAAAGTAATCAAACGGTGCGGTAATGATAAAAAAAAAAAAATGTGGGCGAAAAAAGTCAAGAGAACTGTCGGTTCAATTTATCAAACCAAACATGTACAATATTATATACACCTTCTTCAAAGCACGCGAATAATACATTATTCGTCGTCGTCTCCCGAATTGGCCCGTTTTTATGACGTTTCGACAAGCAATTTTACACCCCTTTTCTCTTTGCAACCCACACACAAAGGTTACCATAATTATTCATCGTCAACAAGTGCTCTCCATACACAGCCGACGTTTCATAATTAACTATGTATATATATATACAGCGATGACTGTATATATATATATATATACATCTCTCGTCGCCAAATCACTGTTGTTCCGCTTGTGTAGAGTCGAGCATGGTAAATAACAACGATCGACCAACAATAAGTTTAAGTCGTCTACTCTAGTACAACGGCCGTGGAACACTAAACAGCAGCTATGTTTAAATGAAAGAAAACATAATAGACACTTTTAACATTTTTTTTATTCAGTTTCCAGAAAATAATTACCCGCTCGGTGTTTCTCATTAAATCTTCTTTTTCGCCTATTGGACGTACAACGCAGAGCCGCTTTTATTAGAGTGTTACATTCAATCCGTTTTCTTCTCTGTGTCGGTCAGTGTCCATTACCCTTTTTAACCGTACGCTCTCTGTAGTACAGATATAAAACACCAAACAGCTGTGCACGAGGAAGGCAATTTGAAATTTTTCTCTTTTTTTCATTTTGCCGAGACGTATTCTACTTAAGTTCACGATCGTAAATCCGTCCCTTCCTGCCGCTAAAAGCGTTTACAGTGTATACATACATACACGCTACACCACGTCACATACATGCTTAATAATATGTATACAGAAACGATACTTTTAAAAAGAGGTAGGTACAACTGAGCTTTATACATTATGTCAGACTTCACGACAACTATCGACTTCATAACCATACAGTATAGGCATTTAGTTTTAGTTTAGTTAATAAATGTTAATAAATTAAACAGAGAATACATAGGTAGATGCGATTTTTTAAACAGTGACAAACGCAGAGTCGTATTAAAAAGTAGTGGAGGCAAATAACAACTGATCATCTACCGATGGAGTATTTTTTTGTTTTTTTTTTCTCCTGGTACACCGTAATAATAATAATAATTGATTTTTTAGCGGTTATGGCGGTGCAGCATTGCGCATTGAACTTTTCCACCCTCTAGCCTGTCAACCGGGATATATATGTTCTCTACGTGTTTGCCAAATACCCCGAAGTTTACACACGACCCATCACCATTGATAGCGTTATATAGCACAATGATGTCTTTACTTGTTCTTCGAATCGCCGTCCTTCGCAAAACACTATCCGCATACGGTTATTGCATAAATGTACCGCTCCACTCCACATTGATTTAATATGTTTACCGTTTTAAACGATTTTTTTTTCATTTATCAATAAAGTACTCGACTGATAAAGACATTGGGGTCTCGGTGGTCCGGTCCGACTGTACTTATCAGATATACATCATCATGTACAATATAAACGCCGAGGGTTTTCAGGATTAAAACCGTAACAACAGCGAGGGTATTTACTGCAAAACATTGTTATTCACGATAATACTACTGTACCCGGTATTGCACGTTTCATTGTTGAAACGTAGTATATGGCCGTTTATAAAAAAGTTTTTAAAAAAAAAAATGTCAAGGAGCTGAGTCCCTACGGAAAACGGAAACTACATTTGCCTCCGGTCACCGTCGGTGGACGTTTTACTATTTATACAGTCTGCTGTTTGCATTTTTACTTGCTAAGCAAACGGGCATTTTTCTACTTCAACGTTCCCCTAAGGCACCCCGCTGTTAATTCAATTTATATTTCCTCGCCTGAAATCGCGTGAAAAATGTTCGGAAGAGTAAAATAATTGTCCATAATGCTGCAATTGGAAAAACTGGGGTTTAGTATATTTTACAACAATAAAATTGTATGTTTATTTGTGCAGTCGGTATGAAATCACTCCTATAGTCAACAGCTGGTTCAGTGTTAGTCTTCTGTGATTGTTTTTCCAATTGTTTCTGTAATGTGTTCTTATTGGTTTACAATGATGTGCGAGTTTAATTTACTATATTTCATGTATTGTATTCATGTTTAACTAAAATTTACAATACAACGGTTTGAATTCCATGTGACAAACCAACTTGTGTAATAGACGAAATATGAAGTGAAATTGCCGAAATGACGTTACGAATAGAATTTCAGTTTTTCCAGAATTTAGTGAATCTGATTTGGGCATTAAAAACGGCCCGGGAATTTCTATGGCTTGCACGCCTCTCGTTTGAAAAGAAAATAGTTTTCGAGTCGTTAATATTCAATCGGCGTGCCGAATACGAAAATCTTAAAACGTTCATTTATCCAATCCAACACGGTATTTCAAAAGATGCAAAACGGCAAGGAAATTTCACCATAATAATACATTAAAACTGTATACTTTCAAAGCGATTTCAAAAGAAACCGGACAAAGTTGTGTCAAATAAAAAACACAGAGATTCTCGAGTTAACTGTAAAATTAAAACGCATAAATCTTTCACGAACAACCGTGAAATGTTTTAAACGCGTTTGTATCATTTTGGCTTAACACTCGTTTTTAAAAAAAAAAAAAAACATTTAATGTAGAAGAATTTGTTCAAACTTTTCGAGCAAGTAAAATACGGGCGCGGTAAAAAGGAAAAGGCTAAAAGGTGAATGAAATCGGAATCGTTTTACTAGTTATGGGAAGTAAAAAACTAAAAACAAAAAAAAAACCTATGATAAATGATACAGACGAATGATAATATATTATAAGGATTACTGTTCGGTGACCGGCTGACAGGTGATACGAAAAAGATTAATTAAAAATGAACCGCGCAGATCGGTATCGAAGCTAACGGAATGCAACAAATTACCTATTTACAAGGCTAATCAATCATGTTATAAAAAAAAAATATATATTTATTTATTTATTATTTAATTAATTTTTAATTTGAAAACTTTCGGTCAGGATTCGCTCAGAAAATATTGATATTTTCAACTGCTAAAAATGAGAGAAGTGCTTCGAATAATAGTACTCTGCCGTTTGTGCAGTTGATAGCGGATATGGCCATTCACAAGTAATCTGATTGGCCGAAGCTAGAAACACTATGAAGAATATAAGTGCATATACGTTTTCGTTAACTTGCTTTTCTTTTTACTATTAACTTAAGTTTTCTCAAGTCCTACATAGCACGTGGGTAGTTAAATAAATTCTGTTTATCTTGCGTGATGTGCCTAACGGTTAATTTTAGTGAACAGCTTCGGGCCTGGCGAGATTGCGGTAATATAATTTCGCGTACTTTTGGCGCGCTCCTTGAGATAATTTAATAATCAAAGTTTACCCATTGAAGTGAAATAATTTATTTAACTCGAATCCGCAGCTCGGTGTCATAGTTGTGATGTGCACCGTGAGATAACACACGATAATAATGTTATGTAGGCACGCACTATATTAATATACATTACTACTACTACTACTACTACTATAGGCGCAGCGTGTGACAGGGCTTACAGAAACGC